GCTGGCAGAAGCTGTCCGATGAAAAATGACCAAAACGATTATTAGTGACTGAGTGGGAGATAGAAATTTCCTATTTAGGCTGTGCTGCGTTTCGATTTTGTGTCGGCCAAGACCAAATGAGGCCCAAAACATGTAGTTTCTGCGCAGGCGGCTGGCCAAGCCAAAAACTTTCATTTATTTTGGCTCTGAGCGGATTATTAATGAATTTTAATTAACTGGACACGGTGGACAAAAGTTGGACGTTTGGCCCAAAGAGGTCGGCGCCGAGTGATCAATGTCAGTTCGCCTTGCCATTGACCTCGCTGGGAATTTGAGCTTGAGATTGCCCCAAACGTGCCACAATTGAACTTGAGTTGCCGCTTTTGTTGCAACTCGCTCGTGCAACGTGCAACTGCCGCCTGGTACCGGCACTAAAGTTGCATTTTCCATTTGATTAATTGACGCGATTGTTACTGGCAGGTTTCCTTTCGGTTTTTGTTCGGTTTCAACAATTAAATTGAAGTGGAAAAAAGCAGATTGTGTGTGCGAGCAAGTGCATGTTAGCGTTCAATTGAAGGCATTGTGGTTGTTGTTACTGTTGCAATTGCGGCGGCTGTTGCTTTGACCAAAATTAAAACAAATGCGGCTCAGTTGCGCAGACAAAAGCCAAAACCCGCCGTAAAAGTCGAGCTGGAAGTCATCGTCATCGTTTTGCTTTCTTTCCAAGTTTAATGAACGGCAAGTCTGGCGACGGGTGGGTGGTTTGGGGGGTGGCAAGGCCTTATGATTAGCGCCAGTTGCGGCATCGAAGGTTGCTGATCTGCGGATTGCATGCCCGCCGCAGCCGCAGCTGCAGCACTAATGGAAAATCGTAAGCAGTGGAAATGGGAAAATGCAAATGCGGCGAAGGCCGCTAAAAGATTTTGTAACACCAAATTATTTTGATTGGTTGTGAATTAAAATTTGTTCCGCTTTTGAGGTCTGGCTTTGATCGACCAAAGCGAATGTGTGGCAACAACAAATTGATGTGTGAATCGAGGTGGGTAATCGGGCCCTAAAAGACCCTATACTCGGCCGATGAGTAAGCTGTCAATAATCCAATCCAGCTTTTCGGACAGCCCCCGCATCAATTGGAATATCAATCAACAGTTCGCGTTCCATGAATGGAAACGCCCACGAAGGCGACACAAATGGCAGTTTGATCTCTTGATGCGATCACAATCGGTGTGATTGAATGGACCAATTACGCTTTGCTTTTGACATAATTAGCGTGTAATAATAATTGTAATGGACATGGACATGGACAGAGACCGTTGGGAAGACCCTCGCGAAGTGGGCAAATTAGCGTGGGGCGGCTTTGACAAAACGCCTCGTGCGACTTACATCACCCATCAGCCCATCACTCAATCCTGCCATCATGCCACCATGGCCACTTGGGTGTGACTAAGAAGCGGAGTGCCGTGGAGGTAACCCGAGAAGCCGCATAGAATTTCGCACACATGCCGCCGTTCCGTGCCAGCTTTTGGTTTCTTTTCCACATCAATGCGGACGAAATGCCATGCGAATAAATTATAGAAAAATAAAAATGACAAAAGGAGAAGCAGACACAAAAACGAAAGTTGCTCTGCACACGGGCAATTGTTCGCAATCGAAACATTTAAATAAATTGATAAGCAGTCGGAAGCATTTGCCTGCCGCGGTTCAATTTGGCTGAGCGAGTTCGTTGCCTAAGTCTTTCGTTTTGTCGTTTCTATCGCATCGATTGCTTAACGAAACGCTAACAATGACAATTAAGGGGAGGTTCTTTTCTTTTTTTTTGAAAAAATCGATTTTTTTTTCTTTAATAAAATGAAAGTTACATATGTTTAGAATATACGTGCCAAAGGATATTTCGATACGACGCGTATTTCTTGAGCTCGAGCGTGTCAAACATACCCATGTCACATGCGCTGTGGTACGCTCTAAAAACTTTAAACGCGTTTTTCTCGGAACCATGTTTTCAAACCTCTTGTCGCGCACAGGGGTCGTTCTATTGATCCGATTTCCTTCATTCAAAAAATTTTTGAAAGTATATACTTTTTTGTATGCCTTATACCTAAAATTGGCATAAAAAATTGTTTATTTATAATTTTTAAACGAGATCGAAGTAAAAAAAAAAAGTCAATTTTTTTTAAATGTCCATAAAATTGGTTTATTTTTACCAAAATTGATTCTAGTTAGGTATAAGGCATAGGAAATTCCATCAATTTTAATAAATAATTTACATTTTTAATTTCGGTTCACTACCAGCGGCCCGACACTCGACAAAGCAGAAAAATAGAGGTCTACGAGATCCGCCATTTTGAAGCCGCCATTTTGAATTTCCTGAATATTGAATTTTTTTTTTAATCGTTAATAAACAACGAATCAAAAGTTCAAAAGCTTAAGTTTGTATGTCTTTTCATTTTTCCGCAATTAATTCTTAAAGTTTGCTTAATTTTCGAAAAAAAAGAGAAGAACCTCCCCTTAAATAAATGCCAATAATAACAGTAAACTGCTGCAGCAAACAACAATATAATGAACTTGAATTGGCATAATTGCCACAGCTAATCACATTAAAGCCAGATACGAAGTTTTGATAAATGCAAAGAAACAACAGCGAAGCCGAAACAACACGACAAACACCAACTGGTTATTCAGCCAGGCAGTGAAACAATCATAGGAATTAAAATAAAATGCAAATGATTGCGTCACTTTAGGTGACTGCAGAGCGATATGAGGAAAAATACTAGGTATCACTCAAAACGTTACAGTGAAAAAAACTAACGAGCCGAACCAAGCAATTTCCAGTTTAAAGCAAGCAAATTTGATTACATATAAACAAAGTCTAATATCAAGTTAAGGGTATACTCGATAAATGGTTAACAAAACTGGCTAACTATGATTAATTAAGAATTTTATTATTTAAAAATAGTGAAATTTGTAAGCGACTAATTAAACGAAGCCTTAAACAAATTAAAACCCTTTCATATAGAATCGTTGCTTAATTATAGGAGTAATTTGTTTGCCTTTGTGTTGAACCTTCAAAATTTACCTCAGATATTCTAATCAGAGATGTGCGACTGTGTTTGGAATGTGTGAGAATTACTTCGGCAAATTCGAGATCAGGCAAGTACTTGCTTTTTTATGCCAACTGCAGAGTTTCTAATTAAGTGGAACAATGAATGCTTTTAGAAATCGCCCATTTCGCTAGCAATAAATTAGAAGCACAAACACCGAAAATTATTTATGAGGCAGCCCCAGTAATTTGGAAAACACATACACGCGGCACTCGGAAGGGAGTGGGGGTGCAACCAGCGCCCATGACAGGTGGTGTCTTCTAAACCCTCTCCCTGCAATGCCACCCACCCCCCGCCTCCGCCTCTGTATGTGTGTGAGTATCTGTGTGTGTTTATGCCGTGACGCAGTCGCAGCTTCAAAACGTCAGCTTGCAATCTTTCACTTTTTTTGTTTGTGTCTGCCGCAGCGTCGTTCGTTCCAGTTTTTTAGTAAATTATTCCCCCAGCATCGCTTCGCTATTATTTTTGTTATTTTCGCCTTGATTATACACACGCGATGTTTGAAGGAGCATTGTTGTTGTTGTTGTGGTTGCAGTTGTTCTGGGCCCTTTTTCTTGACACACTTCTTTCGCTATTTCTATTACTTTTACGCATATGTATGCTAAACAACTTTCTTCTGGCTGCAAAGGGGCGCGCTTTGTGCAAAAGTATTTATCATACATTTTACACACACGCAGGCACACACACCAACACACACACATCGAGATAGCCCCAACGAGATCCAAGCACATATACACACAAAAAAAGGGGAGAGCAGATTGTTCAGTTCGCAAGGTCCGTCTTTGGAATTCCGATTCTGCGCCTTGGTTTTATCACATTTTCGGCATTTCTCATGGGTCCATAAGTCTCTTTGGCCAGCAGGTTTCGTATTTATTGTTGAATGTAACAAAATTTCATTACCAAACACAGACACATGCACGCAGGCAGCACGGCACACACACGGGCGCGTTCACTCACACAAGCACAAGATTGGAGCAGACCGCCCGCTTTTTCCGTTTGTTCGAGTGATTTGGCCGACGATCGTTTTGAGACTAGTCGCTATTCGCGGAATCCGCTCCGACCCGAGCTTTAACTTGGTGGGGAACATGGTAGAATAAGTACCAGGTAGTCTCGTCGGACCCGCTAGACCGTTAAAAACACTTACAATAAGTGCGAGTGAAAGGGTGTTTTTGAATAAGTGTGAAAGAAACAGCAATATAATGTGCTGTCTAACCCTTACGCGGTGCATGGGACTGGAAGTGGTCTGTCCTGTTACAATAAGTGGTTTTTTTTACATAATTTTTAATTTCTTCGGGATACCAGCATCCCAGAGTTATCTGCCATATTATATAGCTTGCAAAAAGTTCTGGCGCATTAATACATTTTCGGCCTTACACGGTCTTGCTGCAATAACTGCAACAAGTTTTTTTCTTCGCACAATAGGGTTAATGTTTGTTATTCGCGGAATCCGCTCTGAGCCGAGCTTAAACTTGGCAGGGAAAAAGTTGCTGCATAGCTCCGAAAAGCTCTCAAACACTTTTATCGATATCGCGTCCTTAGTTTGGTAACACCACCATGATCTCTTGGGGTGATCTATACTCACCATAGGAACTACACCCCTTTTTTTTCTAAACGCATTTGTACGTTTGGATATCAATGATATGTGAGACTCGTTTTTAATATTGTTATTTATATTTTATAGTTAGATATTACTACTCTAATGAGTTTAAAAAATAAGACAAAATAAACAGTTGCGATTTTCAAATTAATATAATACAAAATCTTGAAACATTTTTTAAAACATGTTTTAGCAAGCCTACCAGGTTTAGCTCGTTAAGTTAAACCAAATTTTGTAAACCTAGATCCGCTGCCCAACACTGCTGTCTTATCGATAAGGCAATATATCGATAGTTAATGAACTTTCAAACTTTTGCGTGACGGCAGTATTTTGCTTATTTTGTCCTGCGGCCCTACTATCTTCAACAACTGAGAATTTAATAACAAAAAAAGGGAAAACGCAGAAAGTGATGGGGAATCAAATGGGGATTAGGTTAAATGGTGATGACGACGACTACGAATCCTCTGACAACGAGCTGGGGTTTAATGTGATTAACTTTACCGTTAATGCCATGGACATGGAATTGCGCACTGACTACTGCGCCCATGAGCTGCCAGTAATTCGCTCGAAGCCCGATCTGGCGAAATTTCAGGTAATCATGAAATACTAATCATGAAAGATAACGATAGTAAGTAAATAAATCCATCTCTTAGGGCACTGATATGTACAAGGAGATACAGGCGTCTAGCGGAGTCGTCAGCAATCCGGATGATCGGTGGAGTTTGGTGCGTGCCCTTCAGCAGCGAGAAAATGGGATAGCCTCGCCACACAGCTCCTCATTTTCTAAAAACCAACAGCGCTACATTTCCAATCAATACATACCAAATAGGAAGACTACGCGTCTCATGTCGCTGGACTCGAAAGTCTTTGTGACCAAATTCAATCGCACAGGCAGCAAGTTGCTGACCGCCTGCCAAGGTCAGCATTTTTTCAGTTGAAGCTTTGCGTTTCGTCATTTCGAAACTTGTTTACTTCCCCTTCCAGATGGCTTTGTCCGTATCTACGACGGCGCTAAGGGCACCTATCATCTGCTGAATCGCATTCGTGCCCGTGACGTTGAATGGAGTATCATCGATGCTGATTTTAGCCCCAATGGTCAACACTTTGCCTACAGCACCTGGTCTCGGTCATGTGAGTGGCTACTCCCCCTAAAAACTAGCATTTTTAAATATTGTTGTATCCTTCAGTTTTTATCATGCCCGTAAATGGGGGCGAAGACGACTGTCAGTGGGTCGATGTTAATGGACTGCCAAACCACCGGTTAGCCATCTTCTCATTGCGCTACTCACCATTGGGCGACAAGATCATCGGGGGTAGCAACGATGCCATGGTCTTGGTGACCGACATACGCACACGAACCACACAAATCTTGCGCACCCACCGCACTCCGGGCACCGATGTAAACTCAGTGTGCTACGTGCACGACAAGGACCCAAATGTGATAATCGCTGGCTGCGATGACGGCTTGCTTAAGGTGTACGACCTGCGCACCTCGTTCCGGTCGCGAGAGTTGTCCAAATCGGTGGCTTCCTTTATTGGCCACTACGACGGTGTCACCTATATCGACTCCCGTAACGATGGCTACCACGTGCTGTCCAACTCCAAAGACCAAAGCATCAAACTCTGGGACATGAGGCAGCCTAGCAATTTGCGAAATCGCAGTCGTGCGAGACAGCGGCAAATGGATCTCACAGTGTGGGACTATCGGTGGAATCGCGTTCCGCGCGAATGTAAGCTTTGTCGGTTAATAATGTTGTATATCCCCCTATTTGACAATCTTTATCATTGCAGTTTACAATCCCCACAAGGCACTGGAAGGGGACACCAGTATAATGACCTTCCGCGGACACCGAGTTAGTAAAACCCTGCTACGGGCCAAGTTTTCGCCCCAGGAGCAAACAGGACAGCGATTCATATACACTGGCTGTGCCACTGGTCGTATTATAAGTGAGTGTTTAAATATAAATTTCAGTATTTCTTTGTTTTCCGCTTTTAAGGTCAACTGAATATATTTTTGTTTATCTTCAACTCAATTCTCCTTCCACATTTTTCGTCAGCTATTCTTAGATAGCAGATTTCTCTTTCGAAATGTTTTTTTTAGATAACTTTCTGTGCATGCAATTCTTAAGAATTTACTTTCCAACAACTTACAACTAACATATTTTCGACTTCTTTGTTGTAGTTTATGATGTGCTTACTGGAAAGATCAAAGAGGCTATTGAAGGACATAGGAATGTGATAAGAGACCTGGACTGGCATCCAGAGCGCTCTGAAATTGTGTCTGGTTCTGTAAGCTGGAAAATTCTCATTCTTAAATAAGCTTTTATGACAACTGTATTGTTTGTTTGCAGTGGGATACCCATGTTCATTTGAACACCTATAGCCGCAGCAACGCCAATCCTCCGTTCAAGCGGGCCCACAGCTCGGACTTGGATAAGAGGCCTCTGCGACGGTCCCGCCGCCTGGCTAATCGCAACGTGACACCAGACTAGTTTTAATGTTGGCGTATTTTGTACCTAGTAAGACCCCCATTGATATTACATTTCGTTACATTCATTCATAAACGCATGCGCGGACAAGGGGAAAATATTCACCGCAGTCGGGCCGCATTTTGGTTCTATGAATAAGACTGAAGAATATGTCACAGCTTGAAATGTATAGTTCAGTTTAATTAATTAACTTGTTACAGATTAAAATGTAAACCCAGAAGCTTACAAACTACCTACTTAAGTTGTTTATGTACAAAACAATCATACAAGAATCACGTTGAATTATATTTCGTTTGCTCGAACTAAATTCCTTGAAACGCAACTCTTTTCTTAACCGCCCGAACAGTTGAACGTGCCACTTTCCTCGGATATCGTATGTTCTTCTTAGTTTTCTTGATTTCCCCAAAGGGATTTATTGTTCCAAAGGTCTAGAATACGCCTTTCGTCCTGCGGATTGTCTACCACCTCTAGCTCGATGTTCTCGCTGATCCCGTAGCCTACGATTTCGGATAGCGACGACCCCTTGAACGCCTTCATGTCGAACAATGGGAATTTGTCTGCACAAAATTGAGAAATTGCAAAAGTATTGTATGACTTTAGTTTTTCTTTGATCTCTTCCGTAGATAAGAGGTCTTTAGGCAGATCTTCATCGTCTGACTGATCGCTTTTATCGCTGGAGATTTCACTGGCAGCACTTACGTCGTCCTTGTGCTTCCTTCCTGTGTCATTAATCTTTTTGACCGCCGTATCCACAGCGGTAGCGAGCGCAGGAATTTCTAGTTTGGGATCGGGCGCGGAAGTGAATGATTTCTTTTTCTTCTTCGAGGTTTTATCGGTACTTTCGGGTACGGATTGGGGTATTGGCTCTATTGGTTCGATTTCTTCGGCTTTAATACTTTTTTTTGACTTATTTTTCTTTTTTGTGGAGTCTTCTTCTGTTATTTCGGCTGTGTTTTCTGGCTTTTCGTTGGTTGGTTCACTTTTGTGAGATTTACGCTTTTTTTTAGTTGCAGTTTCATCTAAGTTTTCGCATACGTCAGCCGTGGGTGTGTCATCATCAATAATGATTATTTCCGAATCATTCAACTCACTTTTCTTAGACTTTTTCTTCTTCGTTTTAACAGGTTCTTCAATTATTTCTATGGTTTCTATTAAATCCTTTTCAGTTTTTTCCTTTTTCTTTGAATTTCCCTTTTTTGTTGGTTCCTTAATTTGTTCTTCCTGCTTGTCCTTCTTCTTTTTCTTTTTTTTTGGCGGGTTGGTTTCTTGATTTTCACTTGGTTTTTCATCATCGCATAGGTTCTGGGATTGCTCAGATTCATCCTCGGATGGGCGTTTAGATTTCTTTTTTTTCTTTAGTTTTAAATTGTTCTGGTCAATATCTTCCTCAAAAGTTGTTGGCTCGACTGCTCGTTCCTTGTCCTTCTTTTTTTTCTTTTTTTTGCTGGGCTCTTGATCATTCCATGCTGAGTTCTCCTCTAGTTCATTTCCGTTTACCTTGGGCTGTGATTCATCCGGAACATCTTTTTTGGCGCTTTCAGTGCCATTCTTGAGCCTGTTTTTCATCGCCTCCATTTTTTGCTTAAAATAATCGCTGACCGAAAGTCCCGTGCTAACGGTTTGCACTCCAGCAAAATTGGGATCCAACTCTTTTTCTTCCTTGGGCTGTTCAACCTCTACGGGTGCTGGTGCTTCTATATCGTCTGTGGCCTTTTTGCCAAATATGTTGGCCAAATCCTTTTCGCTGTACTGGGACAAGTCCTTCCCGCGTGTAAACTTTTTGTAGTGCACGCGGGCCCTGCTTTGTTTCGATTTCTCCTCCAGCGACATACCACTAATGTTCTGCTTTAGTTTCTTTTTGGACGGCTCCTCCGGATCTTCAGCCTTAAACCCAAAGCCCATGGGTCTAGCTTCCTCTTCGGGTTCAGATTCTTTGCCATTAGCCTCGTTATCTTCGCCATTCAGTGATTTGAGAAGACCATTGAAACCTTCCTCGTGAGTTGTCCACTGATCATCCCTTGCTTCGAATCCCAAACCTTCGGCGTCGTTCTTAAATCGAATGCGAACGAAATCCTTTTCGCCATCCTGCTTGGCGCCCAAACCATTGCCCTTTGTCCAGCCCATCTTCTCCAGCATTTTTGTGCCAAAACGGTTTTCATCTGTAAATTATTTTTTGAAGGTTTCATGTGTTTGAATATTATTTGAATTTAATATGTTCACCTTCGTAAAGCGCCTTGCCGCGTGGACACAAATTGTATCGCTTGCGGCGTCGTGGTTCCGCCAGCATAGCCATGTTTATAAAAACAATCTATTCGACTCTATTATTGGAAACTAATTTAAAAATGAAGCCAATTCTTAATTCGTACAACGGCAGCTGCAACACGTGCTATCATATATCGAATCGAAGCAAGATGTATCGATTCCGATTGTCGGAACAGCTGTGCGAATGGGATAGAGATGAGCATTAGTCTTCTAGATATGCGCAACCAGTGTCTCCTTAGACAGCTAGAAGGAAATTTCAAAACAAAATTTTAAAACAATCAAAATTGGTATATGCAATTTGATTGCTGTCGTGCGCTTTTCAGATGTCATGGCTTAATTATTTCTTATTTATCGGAAAAATTCAGTTCTTGCTGCCAGTGACGAGTAATTGGGTAACGTGCATCTCTAATTGAGTGCAATCACTAGTTTTCTTTATGTTGTTTTGCATTGTTATTAATTTTTTAAATTGCGAATCTGCAGTCGACTGATAATGGATATAAGTGCGGATGTCGATCAAATTATAGCCCAGGCTCCAGATTGGAACTTTGCGGGCGATTGTGCGCTTTTAGCGCTAATGAAGCGCATTTCTCAGGTCTGTCTTGACAAATGGTTTTATCAACAATCCAATTTGATTATATTTGTCAACAGAATTTAAATGAAAGAGGCGAACAGACAAGTCGCAATCTGAGAGACTTTGAAACAAGGGTGAAGCAAGTGGATATATCACTAAATAATGCCACCAACAGCTTAAGATCCCTACAATTTGGAAATCAGTTTGTGGAATATCGGGTGGAGGAAGTGGATGACGCCGATTTGGCTATGCCTGAAGAGAGGAAGAAGAAGAAGGTGGAATAGGGGCTTGAATACTTCAGCAGATTGTGATAACAGACTAATTTTTGTTTGCAGCCCGAGCTGCCGCCCAAGAGTTCCGAGGAATTGGCCAAGGAGTTTTTGGAAAACAATCTGCGAATGTTTCGCAAAAACTTTGAGCCGGTGACCATCGAAGTGCCCGATTCTGATGACGAGGATGCACCGGTTCACTCAACGTATGTAGTTTTATTTGGTAATTGCATTCCCTACTAAAACTATTTTCCACAGAACCGTTTACCGGGCTAAGAATCCTTATGATGCCATTCCACTGCCCTATATTATCGGCACCAAGGAATGGGAGGAACATAAATATGCCGGACTTTATGACAGTAAAGAGAATAGTGGGGATGAAGAGTCCGAGGAATTCTCGTCCAGCTCTTCGGACGAGAGGGAATCCGTATCAAAGAAAACCACAAAGGGCGAAAACAAATTAGAGGAGCCTCATCAATCTGACTCCTCCTCATTGGCCTCGTTCGCCAGGGAACCCGTGATTGTGTCGCCAGTAGTCAAACCTTCTGTCCCTGTGGCAGAGGCTGCCATCAAAACACAGCCACGTCCAATTATAAGCAGTCAACGGAACCCTCACGAGAGAGACATGTTCGCTGCTCTCCGGCAATCTCCGCCCAGCGATGATCCGCCGTCCACTTCGTCCTCGCCCACGTCTTCTCCAGCCTTTAGAAATCCCTCTAATCGCTTGCCAATAGCGTCAACGGCATCGCTAAGCTCAAGCAGCAGTAGTCCGGCCCAACAGGCGCCAACGCTTTTTGATGAAGCTGTTTCAACGCAAACTCCCAAGGAAACTGAGGCTAAGCAAAGTCAAACTATGCGCAAGCCAGTAAATCTTTTCAACGACGATGAGTTTAACTCTTTTATGTCCGAAATCGTCGACAAAGTTCAGGCCAAGGCGGGCAATAGCTCTGTCACCCCTGCGAAAACGATCTCAGTAAGGGAACAACCTAAAGAAAAGGAGTCTTTTGAGCAAAACTTGAAGCCAGAAGTTCCCAGACAGATTGTTGAGCAGTCGGTACCAAAACGTGTTAATCTATTCGATGACAGTCCTCCACTGAGTCCAACTCCGAAGGCAGTGACTGTCGTCGATAATGCTAAAGCATCAGGCGCTATTCCGAAACAGAACCCCATCAGGGTTTCTAAAAAGGATCAAGTCAAGTCTCTTTTCGACGATTCTCCAGCATTGTTTGCCTCGCCGAAATCCACTGCTTCTAATGATCCGCCGAAACCTTTACCGAAATCGCTATTTGATGATGATTTGGAGGATGATGACTTCTTGAGTTCCTTTACACCCAAAACAAAGCCATCAGAACAAAAACAGCTCTCAAAACCCCAGTCCTCGTTATTTGATGACGATGATTTGGATATAGATGATATATTTATTAAACCATCGAATAAGCCAAAAAATCTCTCTGAAAGAGTAGCTGGAAAGACCAGTTTATTTGAAGACGATGACCAAGATGATGTCGCTGACTTATTTGGCTCAAAAAAGATAAGAGATATAATAAAGGAGCCAGCCCCCGAAATTTCGCCAGACAAAAAGATTGAAGAGCCAGTACCTTCTAAGAAGAGTTTGTTCGATGACATCGACGATGAAGATTTATTTGGTACACCAAAAGCTAAGAATTTAATTGCCAGTAAAAAAGATAAGGGTCCTCAAACATTGTTAAAAACAGAGCTCACAGTCGAAAAAGAAAGTAAAACAGTTGAGGGAAACCAAGACAACTTTATAAAACAAAAAGTAGATGTACAGCAGCCGCAACTTATAGAAGATAAGCCTTCTACGCATCTTTTTAGAGATTCACCTCCCCCTATTGAAGTTGTAGAAGAAAAATCTCGGTCTAAAATAGATGAAGCGCCGGTTAAGAACGATAAGTCCGCGCTTAATGATCCTAAAGATTTGTTTAATGGCAACTTCAGCGACGAGGAATCATTCTTAAGCCCTTCAAATATTAAAGTTAAGCCAAAAAGTGCTATTGAAACTAAAGAACCTATCGCACCAACTGAACAAAACACTTTAGCTCCAGTGAATTCTTCAACATATTCTACCAAACCCACTGATTTGTTTAACGAAGAATTGAGCGATGATGATTCATTTTTGAGTGCAACCAAAACTAAAGATAAGCCAGAAGGTGCTCCAGCAACTAATAAAATTAATAAGCCAGCTGAATACCAGTTGGAAGATGAGATAAAGCCTGAAGAATTTGCAAGGAAACTGCCAGAGAACAATTATGTTAAGCCGACGAATGATGTGGTGCCTGAAGTGCTGAGCGATTCTCAAATAGATGCTCCTGTTTCAGAAACCCCTCCACCAGACGATTATCAAAGCAGCCAGGATCCCATTATCACAATGGTTGCTGATGTTACCAACAAGTCCCGCGAAGATGTTTCTACCCCAAGAAAACCAGCAGACCTAGCTGCTGCACAGCAAATCATGCAGAATTATTCAAATCTCTTTTCCGACGAGCCGCCGGATGACAGCGAGTTCTTTCAAACGCTCGGGAGCAGCGGCCTTAGCAGTCTAAGCGCTTCGAAAATCTTTGACAGCGAGCAAGACTTCTTTGAACCCGCTTTGCCCAAAATCCCAAGTGCCAGTAAGCCGTCGCCAGGGACGCCCGGAGATCAACCTTCTTCAACATCCGATTACGGGGGAATGTGTTTGTTCAGTGATGTTCCGCCCGAAGATGACAACCGTGATGTTGAGGAGCCACAGAAGCAAGCTGAGACCCCGAAAGAGGGAATCGCACCAACTACAACCAGAATCCACACAATTTTCTACGACGACTTTAGCGAGACAGCAAGACAAGGAGCTCTGCAGCCAGATCGAAAACCTTTCACTTTCGATGACGAGCAACCACCGGCTGACGAACCTGATCGCAGCAAGGTTAATGAGAGCTCTGAGGTGCCCGCTCCCACGTCTCCTGTAAAAAAGCTGAAAATGCCTAACATTAACATCAATGTGCAGGCCTTGCTTCCTGGCTCTGGAGGACTGCCAAAGGTGCTAAGGAAACAGGAATCATCGAGTGTCGAAAGAGAAGCAAGGGAAGAACCTCCGAATAGAGTAGAATCTTCGAAGTACCCATCGAGATCCAAGGAAAGTGTTATTCCATCTGTGGAGGGTGGTCTGCAGCATGTTAACAAATCTCGCGCTAGGGGACCTTCGAAGAGAAGACCTTCGACTAGGAAGGGAAGACAAGAAAATTATGCGAAAAGCCTGCTGGATGCAGAGAAAGTCCCAACACCTTCGAACTCTATTGAAAGGAAGTTTATAGATAAACCTGATGAAGAACCATCTGATTCCAAACCCAACAAGGCTCCCCTCCCTCAGTCTGTTGCTTCTGAAAAGTTGTATTCTCCTCCAGCTCTTGACATCCTTAACGAGCCTCCAGAGTTCAAACCCCAACTAGAACCATCAGCTCCTTCTAAATCTGTAGCATCCTTTTTAGACAGTCCTGATGAAGATGATTCTTTGTTTGGTTCTGTAACACAACAGAAAGTTTTCCCCACAAAGCCATTTGGTGTTAAACGGAGTTCTGAAGCTCCTAAGTCATATCGATCATTTTTAGATAGTCCTGATGAAGATGATCTTTTCAGTCCTGATGAGAATTTGCCGCCACCTGTGAAAAATACAAGTGCGGTTGAAAAGGGTCCTCATTTCTTGCCACAATCGGTTTCGAATTATCCACCAGTCGATCAGCAGCCACCAAAGTTGAAAAGCTCCTTTTTGGACAGCGCAGATGAAGATGATTCGCTATTTAGTCCGGTCAAAACAGTAGAGGCTCCAATTGCCCGAAAATCTTCGCTCCCGGCAGCAGAAAACCTTTCTCAAGCAAAACCAGCTCCTTCAACCCTCCCAAACTCCAATGAGACAGCAAAGGAACAAAAACAACAAGCTGCCCTGAAACTCTTTGATGATAGCGATGATGATGATCTGTTTGCCACTGCTGCTGTGCCCGCTCCTTTGCCCAGCAACCAAACCAACAAGCCTGCTCAAACTAAGCAGCCCACTAAGCCAGCATCCTCTTCCCTTTTCAGCAGCGATGAAGATGAGGCGGAGAAGCCAGCTAGGATTGCTCCTAAAAAGAAGTTGCCCGTCAAGACCAGCAATAGTCTCTTCAGCGATGACGACGATGATGATGATCTGTTCGGAGGAGGTTCCTCATCCAAAGGAAACACGACCAAAAAGACCAAAACTGTGACCCGGACTGTGTCCAAACCAACAACCAGTAAAGCGGCCACGCCAACTGCAACCATTCCTTCTAGCACCAATGACAATCCATTGGCCGATCTTCTCGAGTAAACTTGAATGCCTTTTATTACAAGTATGTACAGTTTTCGATCTGTTGATGGTTAGACTGTTGATCAGAGTATTGTTATTCGTATTCCTAACTAAACTTAATAAACAATGAATTTCAATGTCGGTTTGTGGTCGATTCTTAGAACTAAACTTGGGGGAACTCGCTGTGAAGTCACGATGATTTAACCAGTTACTCTATTACTATGTTTATTCGCCTGTTATTTGCAAAGGTAATTATAGATGATAGCTTTCTATTTGTGAGAATAAAGAATTCGGTAATGTTTAGGATCTTTCTAAGCCAATTTGTTCTTTGCTGTTTATTTGCATTTCAAATTATAACCTCACATTTTCACTGTAAGTTTTTGCATTTGGAACGTTTTTATTTGTAAGTGAGGCGTGTCTGTAAACACAGTATTTGCGGCATAATAAATTAAGCAAATAACCAACTTTGCAAATTTAACCTGCGTATAAACATTGCATAAGATTCTCCCAGTGTAACGTTAGTCTACGAACTGAAACTGAGTTAGTTTGTGGCTCTTTGGTCGTTATTCCGAGGAATCTCCTTCTAGATCGAGCATGTCCTACAACTAGTGAGAGTAACCTAAGCGCTGACTGATGATCGTTTGGGGATCTGTTTCCGGATTACCGGACTCAAAGGGCCACATCGCGGTACTTCCGGTAGTCGTCGGACTCGTTGCCCAGCGAGAGTTTGCTGTTGGCCGTGATGTACGGATTGGCATAGTTGGCGTAGCCGAAGCCTCCGTAATACTGCATCTGCTGGCTGTGTGTGGAGCCACGTCGCTGCATCGGTTGTGCCATCACGGTGCCGGCGAATCCTCCCGTGGAACTGCAATTGGAGGGCCTGCGATAGATGCCGCCTGCATGTTGCTGGTGCAACTGTTGCTGCTGCTGTTGGTGCAGCAACATGGCCAGGTAGTATTGCTGCTGCTGCGTGTAGTTCTGGAGGAGATTATTCCCGTAGGCGGTCAGATCATTCTGCACCTTGCTGATCCCGTCCAGGTTTTCCAGGGAAACACAATTCCTGGAGAGCTTGCCCGGTGGCGGTTGCTTGTGGCTTCCACGCGGACGGTTGTGACTCCTCTGTTGAGCAGGTGGCGGTGTCAGCTGTTTGGGTTCAATGGAGCAGTATATGGGATCGTTGCTAGTGGAGCCAATCAGCGAAGGAGGCGATGGTCGGTGCGAGTCATGCAGATTGTTCTTCAAGTCATCGATCGTGATGTTGAAGTACTTGGCGTTCTTGTCCTCCGTATCGAGGACATGTCGCGGGTTGTACATTCCGGGCAGAGTGCAGCGCAGATCCATCAGGGATTGGGCGCGATGGCCACCGGGTGCTCCTCCCGTTCCATTTCGCTGCATCAGAGTGGCATTGTTGAACTGCTGCGCCAAAGCCGGCGCGAACATGCTGGCATTGAACTCATTTTGGGATCCAAACGCCTGACTTCCTCCGCATTGGTTGTTCAAAGCCAAACCCATTCCTGGACCAAGGGGTATTTTAGCCGCGGTTTCATCGCACAACTGGTAGCCGGCGTTCTCAAATCCACTCAACCGCTGGCTGGAGCGCCGGGAGTCCGCTTTGGTCATCGGAACACTGGGTGCCGGAGTTTGAAGGCTGAGCCGAGTGGCCAATCCTTGCAGTTGGCTCAACACCTGAGTCTCCCGACGCCATCGGATGCCCGTGGGAATCACACAAATTAAAGCAAAGCAGTTGATGATCAGACGAATCAGGTAAGAAGTGAGCTCTGTAAGTCCATGCACAGATTGCAGACCCTAGAAAAATATACAATTTATATATTAGGGTAAATATAGTATATAAATTTGTATAAATTTTTGTTCGACATATTTTATGACTTTCAGGTATATAGCTTCCTTCCTTGTTTCACAATATAATAAAAGTTTTCTAATTCAGCTTACCCAGTGCTGTGTGGTCATGATCATGACGAAGACCAACTCGGGAATCGAGAGGAGTCCGATGATGCCCGACCAGGCGAACAGCGGCCAACAGAGTCCGCTGACCAGTCCATGGATGAGGATCGTCGTGGCCACGAACATCACGAAGTAGAGCGAGCAGAGTGTGTAGGCGGCGAAGGGCAGCTCCCCGTGGGCCTCCAGTATCCAAGAGACCTCACACGAAAAAGCCCCCAGATACACGATCTGCGAAGAATGCAAATCGAAATGGGAAGAGAAATGGAAATTAGCCGAGATGTTCGCAAAAGAAAAGCGAAAACATAAATCAGTCGATGGCAGTCAAAGACGTTGTGGAGGCTGGAAAAAAAAATACCGGAGACAGCATTGCTCCGCAACCATCCATCAATCAATTAATGAGCTCCACTTCTCCTCCCTCAACGACTTCGAATGTCTGCCTGTCAACTTGGTCAGCGCAAAAAGAAGATGAGATTTGTACATCTACGCAAAAACGATTTCATTTCATTTTCACTTAATGGAGCAGAAAAGTTTTCACACTGATAACGGTAACCGACAGACAGACAGAGGTAAAAATAAAATACGCGAAGATGTCGGCGATGGAGGCGATATGGTGATATCACCTCGTTATTTAGTTTGCACTTACCAGCAGGAGAACCGCCACCACGCAACATATAATGAATAGATTCGCCTTTATGAAGCGCTCCATAATGCGTTCGTTCCAAAAGTTTTGTATGCTATTGCCGTTGCCCGGCGGCCGCTTCTTCAACGAGGACGGCGACTGCTTTTCACTGGCCTTCTGATAATTCATTATTCGTGTTATTCGGTTGCGGTTGTTGTCGAAGATGTTTCAAAGATATATATGTGTATATAGTATATGTGGGTAAGTGCGGTTTTCGAGAGAAATTATGCTGGAAAGCGGAAGGGGTGGCCTTCGTTTGGTTTCCCCCAATTTTGTTTTGGGGGAGAAGAAGATGTTGGTCACTGGTGCGATGCGGTACTGTAGAGTATGTGATGCTATGTGGTTAGGAGTTCTAGTTCTTGGTTTATGTTCGAATGGGTTTCGAGTCCAGACCGCTTGTGGGTTGAATGAAAGCGTTAAGCGGCCCAATTGAGTCGTGTCATGCTAGGTTGGTGCTGAAATGAGAATTCCGAGATGAGATGAGTCCAGTTTCGATACTCGAACAAAAGACTTAGGCAACGAACTTGTTTCGGCTGCTTCACGCTTCACATTTGATCAAGCCGAGAAGCAACAACAAAAACAAAAACAAAATCAAACAAACTCACAGAGTAGCACTCTCAGTTCGTCGGATAACGGCCTGTGCTATATTATTAAGAAGATTTTCACTTTTCTACACAGCCAGTTCGTTGTTCAAGTCTTTTGTTTGGTCGAGCAAATATTTGACCCTAACAAATGGTGTCGCGTGGTTAGCAGGAAGCTTCTGGTTAAATGCTAACTGGCACTGTTTGCCAGTTGCCAGTTACGAGTCAACTTATGTCATGGCAAATACATTTGCTAGCTCGGCAATACCCAAATCCATTAATCAATTACACTTGGCTACAAAGTCGGAGTTATTTTTTTACCGAAACCATGAGGTTATATTTTATATGATAAACTCTTTTTGGTAAACAATGCAATGTATGCTTTTTAACATTTTTAATGAATAGTGTGAAACGAATTGAACATAAACTGAAACATTGTAAAAAATAACAAACAATTAACAAATGGAAAGTAATCCGCAGATTCATTTCAAACGATTAAAAAGCTTCGATTCCGTAGACACTTGTAGTGAAAAAACCCGACCAATTATCCCATTAGCTTGCCCACGAAATCGTGTGGAGAAGTGTAAACAATTGAGACGCCTCGCCAACACATCACCCAGAGCCCAGTTAACCATTTGGTCGGATACGGTAATCCGCCCATAATAGACATCGTCATCAAAATAGAGGCGACGAACTCGCTGTCAATGTCGTCAGCACGCAGGTGCGCCGAGCTCATCATCGTGATTAAAATGGTGTGCCTTTGAGATGATTATGTGCCACCTGGAGGCGTAACCATGGTTCTTGGGTTGGGTTGGGAGCTCTGCTCCTCCAAAAAAGGAGCGACGACGCACCGGATATGCGCACCTTTAAATTACTGGGGAGCCGACTAGCCCCATTGTCATTCCGCCAACGTTGCAAGTGGAGACCCCGATCTTCGGCACTTTTTCCGGTTTTGGCTTTCTTTCGCTGGCCGGAAAGAATTGCAAGACAAACTTTGTTTTTATTGCTAATTAGCTGGACAAACTCATTCCCGCTGGGCTGTCCGGTTTTTCGGGGGCAGTGCTGCTGTTTCTTTTAAACGAGTTTTCGGCGAGTTATTCGCCCGGTATTTATTGGCACTCACTCACCGGGAAAAGGTGGCAAGCGAGTTCGCAGCGCCCTTGACTGACTGCCACACCCATGTGGCGAGGATTACGAAATTATGCAGATCCAACATAATCTCTGTGAAACCCTGTGCGACCGAAAAAATGCGAGCAACATTTCAAAATACGTTGGTTGCATTGTATTCCCTCCTGTCGCGGGCAATTAAATTAATTTAGTTTCGTTATTGTTGAGTCTGCATTGCGAGTTCAATAGCATATAGTAAGTGCAACAATGGACAACCAGTGGATGAATGAATGCATGAATAAACAACAATGCTGCGGCAAAGTTATGCAAATTGTTGTTATGAAGTTGCTGTAAATCGAAATGGAATCGAAATGAAAAGGCCAATCCAATGCGTTGCCGTTATGCTGTGCCTGTGCGTTTCAAAATGCAATCATCTATTATATATATCGTATCGATGCGAGGCGATGTAAAATGTACCTTTCACTTTATGATTATTATTGCGAACGATCCGTCCCAAGCAGTTACAACAGGCATAAATAAGAAATTCCGAAAAGAAAACAAAACTAAATGAACAATAAGCGCGGATCGTAGGAATTATCAGTCAAGCAAGAAAGAAACGATTTCTCAGCGACGCACTCACACACGCGGGCCGGGCCACAAAATTGTTCAGCGTTGAGTCATGCCCGTAGTATAATTTTTTGTTGAAAAGATTCGAAGCTGTCGCTCATGCAAATTGCGTCGCCCGACTTTAATGGGGCACAGAAAAGCATATAGCCACATACACAACACCACCAACTCTAGTCGTTCTCGGCACTTTTACTGCGCGCACAAATTAAACAAAGCCAGGCCGGAGAACTAGTTTAAATTTTTTAATTTTTGGGCTCATCGCAAAAGCGAAATGCGCTCGCATGCAATTATGTTTTGATTGTTATTTAATTGTACAACGGTTAGGCCACAAAGCACCTGGCACCAGGTCAAGCCAAAGGTGACGGACGTGAGAATGGTCGATATGTGTGGGTCACTCACTCGCACTCGTGAAAAGGCCGTAACGTGCCGCGCTAACGGTACGCTTCAGCTTCAAGTTGGCGCGCTCGCAAAACAGTTAAAAGTGAAATTCAAAAGACTGAGGAAACGAACTTGCGTTCGCCGAACGACTGTGCGATCGTTACGACGGCTACGACGTCTGTTTGGCAACTGAAGAGCGCTTCCCAGACCCAAGCTCGAGCTCTACTACTCTTCTGGCCTGTCGTTTGTTGATTTACATTTTTGTTTCTGTTTTTGTTTTTGGCGTCGGTTTCGTTTGTTTTCGCTGCTGTGCAGCAGCAAGTTCACTCGCCCTGACTCTTGTTCAAACAATTAAAACTTAATTTCTAACTGGCAATGATGCTGTCGGCGGTCCGGGGATCCCTCCCTCCTTCCATTTGCATAATTTGTGGCCAAAGCCTAGACGAAAATGAGGCCTAACGGTCATACTTTTGTTTGGGCCAGCTTTTACGCCTGATAACAAATGGTTTCGGCCTCTGGAACAGCTGCTGCCTGTTCTAATTAATGCTCGCCGGGGTTTCTTTTTTTCAGTTTTCGTTTATTCAATTTGGGTGTTTCTTTACTAGCTATTGTGCCTTTGATATATGTATTTCTTGAGGTGTTTTTCTCCTTTCTTTGGGGTAAATTAAATAAAATAGTGCTATTCAAATAACAACAGAAATCAATTCCACTCAGTCTCTGACTATCTAAGTATGAAAATTATTTTTATGGATGAACACTTTTTAAATGCCTAGCTAATAGAAAATAGCTTCATGATTGTTTCGGGACGATTTCAAACGCGTAAACTAAGACAGCCTGTTTCAGCTAAAACTATGCTTAAGCCAAAATTAATTGAGGCCTAATGATCGGCAGTGGATCCATTGTGGATCGGTTCAATGGGAGCACAACCATCTAACACTCCGCCGAGTTGACCAATCCGTTTGATTTGGTCCATTAGTTCGGCGATCTCCGGAGTGCAGTTGCGGAATTTCCTTAAATAAGAGTATCCGCGCAGCATTTCGTTGTCCAAAACGCAACTGTGAAAATGTTTACAAAAGTTAGCTACGTTGTATTAATTGCATTACTATTGATATCACTTACATCAAGGCAGCCGCTCCGAAGTTGCCCGTACCCTCTAAATGGTCAAGCCATTTGTTTATTATGGTTTTGATCATGGGATCCGTCGCTGGCAAACAGATTCTAGCATGAACCAGAGCCTCCTTGTAATACTCGTGGGCCAGGAACAAATCGATGGCTTCTGACTGCATTCCCAGACTGAAAAGATAGGTGGCTGCGTGCATGATATAGCCCTTTTCCTCCATCTGCTTGGCATAAGCACGACAGCAGTCCTGCCAAAGCCTAAAATATATTTCAAATAATAAAGTAATCCTTTCCAATAAATATTATTAGGCACTCACGTAAAAGACACTGAAGGAGCCACCGAGAGGTGCCATTCGGTTAGGGTCTTGTTGGCCATATGCATTTCCAGCTCCTCGCGCAACTTGAACGTAGAAATGGCCAGGCAAAGAGGAGCAATGTCTTTTGTATTGGACTGCTTTAAATTACTCACTGAAATAAATTATTTTGTATTGCTGTCCAATTAAAATTAAGAAGAACCTATTTAACTCACATTCTGTTGCAATGAGCTCCTTCGCCATCACCTTGGTACTAAAAAGCTTTGACATGAGCACTGACTTGTCGATCTTGGCAGCGTCTTCTGTTAAAACGACGGCTAGTTTCTCGAGAGCACTTTTGTTCAGCTCCTTCTGGACGAGGTAGAGACAGGTGCGACTATGCTGTGGGTGGAAAGAATGTGAGTTTCAAGTTAAAAAGTAAACAGATTCTGACTCACAGTGAGAAAACTGTCGGGCATCTGCTTGTTCTCCTGTTCCTTGCACTTTGTGCACTCATTAGCCTTAACTTTTTTGGCTTTTTTGTCCAAGCTGAGGGCTCCCAGCATCTCCTCAACGGGAGTCTCATGCACTGGTATATCGTTGACTGGATTATCATTTAGTGGTGTGGTCGCAGCAGAACTGTCGTTCACAATTGCGTTATGCTCCTGGATTTTCTTTCCTTCCTTGTTGTGGGATTCTGTTTCTTGCTTTGCCGTGATTTTGCGATGTTCCCGTCGCTGTCGCTTCTTCTCAGCTGCTGTGAGTACTGGGGCATAGGGCTGTGTCAGGGATTTGCTGGCCCATTTGACGTTCAGTAGGGCATCCACCTTGGGGCAGATGTTCTTCTCATCGCCGGCCAAAGCTTCTTTGATGTCAATTAGCTCCACAGAAAGCGCCTTTCCCGAGCATATAATGATGTTCTCGTCGGTGGGCAAAAACATTCCGCACCACATGGGGCAGTGGTAGGTGATGGTTAGTGGTGGTTTCTCCGGCTCGTTGCAGTTCCACAGGCAAACCTTTCCCTCGATGTGGAAAGAGAGCAGCAGGTGCTTCTGGCTATGGCTCCACTTGAGCGAGGTAATCGATGCCTTCTCTGCGCTCGCCGTGAATTTGAGCTGTGGTTTCCAGTTGCGCTCCGTCGGCTGGAACTCCATAACGTACAGGGTCTTATCGTTACCCGCCACAGCAAACCTATTGCTGTCCAGCGGGTTCCAAGCTATATCGGTCACATAACGCGGGAGCAAAGCTGATTGGCGGATAAAGGGAGTCCAGGACTTGTCCATTCCGGAATCTCGTTCATGGAGCTGAAGCAGACCATCGTCGGTGCCCACAAAAAGGAAGGAGCCACGCACACAAAGATAACTGGGCCGAGAAATGCAGTTGACGATTGTTGGTTCTGCAAGAAATTACAAAAACTTAGATGAATGCAGAATGCCATCGTCCTTCTAAAAAGGTAATGAATATGTGAAAAAAATTGTTCATAGTTTGTTATTTTTATTTAAAGATTCAAATAATAATTTTGTGACCTTTCCAATTGTTTCCTAATTAATTCCATGAATAAATATTTCCTTTGTTTTCAGTTTTCTTAAGTTCAAGTTCAAGTTTAATGTTTCCCGCCGTTTAAGAGGTTGTTTGAAGTCCAAACAGCTAATTGAATATGGTTTTAAATTGCAAGAAAATTAAAAATCTACCCCATTGTTGTCTTTAAATTTTAGTTTCAAAGATAATTATGGGATAGTTTTAATGATTTTCCTTAGAGTAATTAAAGCTTCTTTATGACTAATATCACGGAACATTAAAAGCTTTGAATAAGAAACATATTTTGTAACCAGGGGAAACCGAAACAAACAAGTAGTCACAAATAAACAGTCACGTTACACATTTCCTTTCATCGAGTTTTTCCCTGGGATAAATTAATTGTTCTGTTTTTTATAATGCCGCGTCACAGGACACTGGTGGACATTGGCCATCGCATTATGAAACGCTTCCAGCAACTGGATCTCAAGGTGGACGAGGAGTTTGTTATCTTTGTGGTTCACCTGCTGGCAAGGGACCAGCGACGAGGTCTGCTTAAATACGATCTGAATAAACCCACCGCGTGTGCAATTGAAACCTTTGTGAGCACCATTGTTGATAGCTATGTGAATCAAAAGGATTGCACAATGGCTAACTTAAAGATGTCGTGGGTGATGAAGAAAGGAGTAACCATCGACCTGGAATATGTCAAGAAACAATACGAAGACAGGTTCCAAGCGGAACTGGAGGTGCTCATTAGGGATATACTCCAGTATCCAGAAACCTGTAGTAAGGTGCAGTTGGATCAACTCTTTGCCAAGATGCAAGTTTTTATTGTGGCCTGCTACAATCTGGGATCGCCCAAGAACCATGTGCTGCTCAAGCTGACAGCTCAGGCTCTAAACAGCGTAATTGGACGCAGTGATCTGCAGAATTACGTGCTTAAGAAGAAGTACCATCGGTTGGAGTATCTTCAGCGATTGGCGGCCACTGTGGGCGGCATAGTCATCTACAACAATGACGGACCTGACGGCGATCGGGAGAATGTGAGAAGTGGTGGGTAACTTCTCTATAAGGAAGGATTGTTTTAAGATCTCTATTTTAATAATTTGTTGTTTTTAGTGATTGATGATTTGGAAATGGCGCAAAAAAACACAGAAGCAGCCTTTACTGCCAGTATGGATAAAGCTGTTAAAATGCGATCTATATGCCAGGCAGCCCTTGATGACCTCATCGAGATTGATCACAAGGATGAGACCTTGACCTACCATGTGCCCCTCGAGCACCTGAATCGGCTGAACCAGTTCTCGCTTACCTACTTCATGATGCACCGATGCCTGACCACTTTAAGTGAGAGCTACCAAAGCACAGTGTATCTCATCGAAACGGAGCAGAAGCGATACGACTGCGTGGTCTGCAAGATAAACGATACGCTCTCCATGCGAACCGCCATCGATTCGGAGTTAATCTTCGTAAGTGTATTGCTTATATCCTTAAGTTTGGTTAGCTCTAATTTACGCCTTCTTAGCCACACTTTGTTTACCTTTCGCAAGTTTGGGGAAACCTAAACAATTTTCTTAACCACATTGTTGAGCTAAACAAGCTGAGGGAGCAGATTGAGGCATTGGTTGTAGAGGACTTGATGGCGTTAACCAAAGCTACAATTGCCGAGCTACAGGCTCTAAATAAACGTATAAAGAATCCCACAGTTTCCACCTTTGAGGAGCGAATGGATGCTGTGAAGGGACTTCAGACCGACGGCAATTTCTGCAACCTGAGCAAAGCGGACATTAAGGAGTTCTGCTCTTTAGCTATGACCATAACAAATGGATTGCTTTTGCCGGCTCAGGTGACTAGAAAGCTTTGCTCCAATGTGGATATAACTTTTGGTTTCCGAGATCCGACGTACGCTCGCTTTGCGGAGCTTCGATTCGAGCCTTTTATCGCCGCCTTCAGAAAAGTGGTCTTTAACAGTGCCAACTTGGCTTTGCTTTTCAAGCTCGACGATGCACTAATCGCTCAGGAGTTTCAGGACCTCGTGGTTGAGCCGCCAAAGCAAAATGACTTCAGCGGTCAAACAGAAATGGTTATCACAAACGACTTGTCGCCGTCGAATTGGATTAATGTAACCTGGAATGCATGGGACTACCATCGGGAAACAATCCATTTGGCCAACATTCGCAAGCAACAAACGCACGATTCGCAGACCAAAATCAGCTATGGACAACGCAATGCACAGAATCAAACCTACAATACTCGGCAACACCTGTAAAAATAACCAAACTCACCAGTTTTTGATTTACTCATGTCGAAGAACCCGAAAACGCGATTCACGATGAAGTATATGTAGTGGTCCTGCCACACCAGGGAGTACACTTCCTTCTTGTGGGGCGTCCGCAAGTGGGTCTTCACCTTCATGCGCTCCACATCAAGGATGCCAACCTATTGTTTTTGCGATTAAGTTTTAGTGCCCAATAAACTCAGAATAGTAAAATCATATACCGTTCCGTCGAAGGTGCCAAAGGCCAGCTCCAAGCAGTTTGGACTCCAGGCCAGGGAGTACACATTGCTGGTCACATAGACGCTATCGATGGGCAGGCAGCTGGTCGAGAGCTTAGAGACATCAAAGAAGGCCACCCGTCGGTCCGAGCAACCCAAAGCGATTCTATGCGAGTAAAAAGTTAAATCATTTCAGGGTTTAGTATGTAATATACTCGCTTACTTGTTCATATCATCCGGACACTCGGCCATCGCTCGCACTCCAAATGCCACTGTGCCGTAAAAGGCACTCGCTTGGCCAGTCTGTGGGTTTATCATTCCAATTTGACGATTGTTCCTGCACAACCATATCATCTCTTTGCTAGAGTCGCAGGCAAACGACACAATGTCCTGCAGATGACAACTGTGTCCTCTGTCCTTGGTGATCTTGTAGCGCAACATCTTCCGTTCAAACTCCAGTGACCAGAAGAACAACTGATGGCGACTCAGGGAAACAATGACCTGGTCGTTCAGCCAGTAAACATTGTTAAGCTTTCCTAAAACGAAACATGGTAAATTGGTGTGTTTTTAAAGCTTGTTTGGAGGAACTCACCTGCCGCCTTGCTCTTGCTGTAGTTTTTGCCAGCATGTGCTCCTGTATTTGTGTTCCAAATCATCATCACCTCATCCCCGTCAATGGAAACCAGCAGCGTGTCCGAACGAGCGGTTGTTGCTGAAGTCGAGCTAATGGTCTCCGTACTGATAGCCGGTACTGTTTGGAGATTACTTTGGGGCTCGAAGTTTGCCTGTGGAGTTTCCGAGGCGTGCACCTCAGCTTGGTGGTAGATGTGATGAAGCACCTCTCTTTTGGGCTTTGCTGCCTCGCCGTCGACGATCACGGCATCATCGCTGGAGGAGCTGTACTGGATGACTTCGAGGCTGCCTTCGGTTGAATCACTGGCATCGTGTTTGTTGCTTATGGTGCTGGCGTCACTCAGCGGCCCCGAGGGTTTTGTAGGCTCACAGTCCTTTAGGGTCACCTCCACATGCTCGGTGTTTTCTTCCTGGCGGTTGGCCAACAGATCCGCCTTCACGCTTTCGCAGGCTTCGACAAAATCCAGCGCGGCGGCACCAGTCGGCTTCTCCAGACCCACAAATCCGCCGCCGCAGTCTTCGGACGATTTACGACGCACAGCCACGGGTGCTCCAAATTCACATTCGAGATGATCAAAGTTGTAAATGTCGAACATGTCGTCCGATTCGGCTGCCCTGGATTTGGCAAGCGGTGGTGGCTTTGCCTTCTTGGGTTTCTCCTCCTGACCACCGTTACGGTTGCGCCATTGCTCAGCCCTTGAAGTCAAATCGTTAAGGGGCTCCTCCGGCGGTCCGGGCACCTCTCGCCAGGCCAGTCCGCAAATGGGCGCCTTATGACCGTGGAATTTGTAGATGATGTTCATCTTGCGGAGGTCGCAGACCAACACGTTTCCCATAGCTGTGCCCACAGCAAACAGGTTGTCGTTGTAGGGAGAACAGCGCAACAGGGTGAGCTGGTGGTTCCTCGGCGAAATGAATGTGGGCCGACGACAGTAGGTGTTCGAGGCAACGCAGTAGATGACCAGGTCGCTGGCGTCCATGGACAGAATGTTACCGTTGGCCAAGTAGCTCATCAGCACAGAGCTGGTGGTGTGATGCACGGAACGAACATCGCGCGCCTCGTGCTGATGCTGGTGGGCCTTGTGCCCGATGATAGCTTCCCCGAGTCCGCAGTCCCAGACCTGAACACTCAGATCGTCGCCAACAATGGCGAACGGTTTGGTCGGACTTCCCACACCATTTCCCCAAAGAGGACTCACGTCCAGGGCCAGGATGTTGATGCGTGTCGACATGGTCACCACTTTGGGATGCTCGCCGCTTGCCGGCGGAGCGGAAATGTAGTTGATACAGCGAACGCCGGCGTAGAGCAAACCGCCATCGGGAGCGGCTGCAGCCAGAGATACGTTGCCCGGCGGAGTCGGCACATTATGATACATCACCTGCGAGTTCATGGCGAAAGATCTGAACTTGGCATTAGCAGAAATTATGACGATTTCCCGCTAACATTTGGCGTTGAGGCGAGATTTTCCTTTCAATTGGCTAGTGTTAGAAAGCTTTGTAAGCTTTTGCAATGCTGCCACCTTATCGGGGAAATAGCAATCTATACAATATAAACAGTTGTTATTATTACTGCTCGCGGCCTATGATACAACCGTTCTTATTATTGTCAAGCAATATAGTTATTACAATATAGGTGCAATACATATTTCATAATGCATATTTTTATACATCATATGCCTGCAAAACTTTTAATAACAGTAATATAGTTTCTACAGTAATGATTTCCTTTCGAAATAATTGTATTAATATTGTAATTTTAAAAATTTAATTTTCCCGCCAATGATAGCAGGACAAAAGATGTGGCTTTCTGAATATCTGGCAGCCCTGTAAAGCATAAACTCTTTACAACACTAGTTTCCTGGGAATGGCAACAAGCAGGTAAAAAAAACAGAAGAAGAGACACAATAACAACGCAAAAAGAAGAAAACTCCAGAAATATAGTAAGCTCTTCGAGAAAAAGTAATCAAAATAAGAAACAATGGAATCAAAGCGCGAGAGAAAGTCTTCCCTGGTATGTATATTACAAACTATTAGTAAGGAGAATGAAAACCTTGATAGAAGTACGATTTTCAGGCCCCACTTTCGCCATGTCCCATTCCCGACATCACGGATGATGATTTGGTGAGCATTTCGGTGCGGGATCTCAACCGCACACTCAAGATGCGTGGCTTGAATCGCGAGGAGATCGTACGAATGAAGCAACGCCGGCGGACACTGAAAAATCGCGGATATGCCGCCAGTTGTCGAATCAAACGGATCGAGCAGAAGGACGAGCTGGAAACCAAAAAGTCCTATGAGTGGACGGAATTGGAACAGAAGCACGAGGATAACGAGCAGGTGCGTCGCGAAGTGAACAACTGGAAGAACAAGTACAAGGCGCTGCTGCAGTTTGCCATCCAAAACGAGATTCCAATTCCGAGCGAGCTGGAGGGCTGTTGATTCCGTCCCAGTTACACATTCCTGTTTCTGTCAAAATTTCTAAAAACTTAAATAAAAACACCTGTAACTAAAGTACAACAGCTAATTTATCCCGATTAATAAAGGCTATATACTATTCTTCGGACCACTGGAACACCCTGTTTTTTCTTGCGAGCATAAACAAAATCTGTGTCGCCGTACTGCGGTGAATGCCAAACGAGCCGGGCGCACAAGGAACTCGGTCGAAAAGCACTGGTTATGTATTCACCTCGATAGCTCCAAGGTTCATTTGTTTATCCAGGCGCATTCGAGTGCCCCACTCAGATCCACTCCTTCGGACAGATGGCATTCCGGTTCTTTGGCAAGTCTATACTTTACGCCCTTCCGCTGGGCATCACCTTCCTGGATTGTGTGGGATATGTGGCCAGGGTGGATGGTGAGTTTGTCTTACGATTTTAGGACAAACTAATCCCTACCTTTATCCTCCTAGGCATCTCCATGCAACCCGCGCTCAATCCGGTCCCGGATGAAAAGGACTACGTTTTCCTCCTCCGATGGGGAACCCATAACAGCCAGGTGGAGCGCGGCGACATAATATCGCTCATCTCGCCCAAGGATCCTGCTCAAAAGATTATCAAACGCGTGGTGGGACTGCAGGGCGATGTGGTATCTACGCTGGGCTACAAGCACGAGATCGTCCGCGTTCCCGAGGGTCATTGTTGGGTGGAGGGCGACCACACGGGTCACTCCATGGACAGCAATAGTTTCGGACCCGTCGCACTCGGCTTGATGTCAGCGCGCGCTGTGGCCATTGTCTGGCCCCCCGGATCGCTGGCGGGTTCTGGAGAATGAGCTGCCGCGCCGAAGGAGACCCATCCAGGCCTCCAAGAACACCAGCAACTACTACAACTAGACTGACCACCCGGCGAAGAGTCTGCGCCCATGATAGTTCCAATTGTGTACATAGTTACAGAAATACGCGTATATTTTATAATCAATTGTTGTGTTTCCGCATGCGAGGCAATGTAGGATGTTCTAAATTTAAAATAAAAGTTAAAAACCAAAGAAAGTTGCGGGATTTCCATAAAACAAAAAGCAAGAAAACCTTCGGAGTGAAAACTATAATTTATTTCGTTTAAACTTATTAATCTACAAAATTTCCCGCGACTGGATACCAAACTCCTCCATCAAACTGAGAGTCTGTTTCAAAGCCACTCCTGCCCGAACAATCTCGAAATAACCCGGAGTGGCCAAATCAATGACTGTGGAGGCCAGGCGTCGCTCTTCGGTAAGCCCGATTTGGCCAGCATCGAAGACGGCGCCCAAATGCGGCCACAACGAACGAAACTCGGACACTTGCAAACTGCTGGGCGCACTGGAGCGATTGGCACTGGTCAGGGCCAAAGGCTGATCTTGCCACACGGCGCACAAATCTCGAATGAAATTAAAGTCCGGAATGCGAATGCCGATCTTGGAGGTGCTGGGATTAAGGAACCGGTTGCTCAACTGGGGCGTCCGCTCGATCACAATGGTCAGGGGTCCCGGGAGCAAACGAGTTAGCAGCTCGTCGCTGAGATGGGAAGCCTGACCAAAGCGACGCAGAGCGGGGATGTTGTGAACGCAGATAGCCACCGGCTTGTGCTCATCCCGACCCTTGATCTCGTAGAGCTTTTGGATGGCCGACTCATTATTGGCATCGCAGGCCAGACCATAAACAGTGTCGGTGGGAAGGGCAATAACCTGTCCCGTCAGCAGGCACTGACGTGCCAACTGGAGAGCCGCCTCATCTTCAACTGGACACACAGGTGTCCGAAGATCACTCTTTAAGGGCAGCATAGTTGAGGACTTGTGAAGGCCTTGGAAACGGCGGAGGAGCTGCGTCTGCAGGCGGCGCATTAGTCCCGCCAGGTGTGGTTGCACTCGTGGTTGCAGCACTTGAAGAACGTCGTCATGGGCTCGTCCGCCGAGCGGGTCTGTATCTGCATAAAGTACGCCCGCTTGTGGCTGCACGTTGGACACTCTGCGTCCGTAGAGTCTACGTTCTCCCACGCCGCTTTGCCACCCAGAACGTGGTCCACCTCCTAGAATAATAGAACAAAACAATTGCATTACAAATCCCCCAAAATTGCATCATCTTTAGGAAACCGAACGCACCTTTAGGCGGGGGAAAGTCTTTGTGGAGATCTTACGACGGATCTTTGATATATACGGGCAAGTGTTGCACGTGAAGCGATGGCTATTGGTGTCTTCCTCAATAATCAATATGTTTCCGCACGACGGGCAGAAAAACAACATAATTTCGGTCAATCCGTGTTTGGTTTGATTTGAGCACGTTGGATGTTCTTGGACAGTGTGACTGCGTGCAAAACTAAAATATACTAACCTCAATATACCACATACCGAGGTGATATGTAAGACCTTTACTAGAAGCATTACCATTAAACAGAAGGGCTTACGTTTACAAATGTCTGTAATTATTATTGCGGCCATTATTATTTCTTTAAAAAAATTTAACAGTATTACATAGATCTATTTTGGTTTGTTTACATTTGCATTTTAGTATTTTTTTTTTTTTTAACATTTTCTTGATTTGTGTTAATGGTCACATTACCACAAATTTGTTGATTTCCAGGATTTTTGCAACACATTTTCAAAATAAACAAATTTTGCAAGAGCTTTTATTATAACATTGGTAATAATTACAAATAAGAAATCATGTCGGCCGATGTACGCGATATTCTGGACATGGAGCGTGCCAACACGCCCGAAGTGACGAGAGATTCATTTTTAGCCACCAAGAAGCGGAACTTTGAACGGTAAACAAATGCATTCCATATGGCTGTTCTTCAATTAGTTACAAATTATTTAACTTAAAAGAACAAAGAATGCGTCCCGACGACCAGAAGGAATGCACCGCGAGGTGTTTGCTTTGCTTTACACTGACAAAAAAGATGCTCCGCCGCTCCTGCCCACGGATACGGCGTTGGGTATTGGAGCCGGCTACAAACAGACGAAGGCGCGCCTCGGAATGAAGAAGGTGCGCAAGTGGGAGTGGGCTCCTTTCTCGAATCCTGCCCGCAACGATGCCGCAGTCTTTCATCACTGGAAAAGGGTCACCGACAACTCCACCGACTATCCTTTTGCTAAATTCAACAAACAGTTGGAGGTTCCTTCCTACACGATGACGGAGTACAATGCCCATCTAAGGAACAACATCAATAACTGGAGCAAAGTGCAGACAGATCACTTGTTCGATTTGGCGAGGCGGTAGGTTGCACAATCCAATTTTATAAGAAAACTCTATAGTTATCAATCATTTTAGTTTTGACCTTCGTTTCATTGTGATGGCGGATCGCTGGAACCGTCAGCAGCATGGCGCAAAAACCGTGGAGGAGTTGAAGGAGCGCTACTATGAAGTGGTGGCCCTGCTCGCCAAAGCTAAGAACCAGACCAGCGAAAAGAAAGTATTCGTTTATGATGCCGAGCACGAGCGGCGGCGCAAGGAGCAGCTCGAGAAACTGTTCAAACGCACCACCCAACAAGTGGAAGAGGAGCAAATGCTTATCAACGAGATGAAGAAGATCGAGGCTCGTAAAAAAGAGCGCGAACGCAAGACCCAGGATCTGCAGAAGCTCATTTCTCAGGCTGATCAGCAGAATGAACACGCCTCCAACACGCCAAGTACTCGTAAATATGAGAAAAAGTTGCACAAGAAAAAGGTGCACCACCAGCCACGACCTTCCAAAGTGGACTCTGTTGTAAACGCCATAGAAATCGGCAGCAGCGGCATCAAGTTTGCTGATCTGCGCGGTTCCGGTGTGTCCCTGCGCTCGCAAAAGATGAAACTGCCGGCCAACATAGGCCAACGGAAGGTTAAGGCCCTTGAACAAGCCATTCAAGAGTTCAAAGTTGGTAAGTCGATGCGTAAATTTATTCTCTGGCCAGCGCTAATTGGCTTGTTCTTTGTAGATCCCGCTCCGCCGCCCACAGAGGACATTTGCACCTCCTTCAACGAGCTGCGCTCCGATATGGTATTGCTTTGCGAACTGCGCACCGCGCTGTCCACATGCGTCTACGAGATGGAGAGCCTCAAACATCAGTATGAGGCCGCCTGTCCGGGAAAGGTAAGTCTTTAGACCGAACATCATTTCAACAAAGGTGGCTAATTGGTTTTTCTCTAATCAATGCAGACGCTGAACATCCCGCCCTCACTGGTGCCCATCAAGACCGAAGCCCTGGACAATAGCACAAATTAATTAAGTTAACGCGGCCCGTTTCTACTCAGATTCTCCAGACGCCGAAGTGTGTGCGGCGTGCTAATCACTGTAACCCGTTTTCCACTGTCCATATTTGTGCATTTGCGCTACTCCCAGTCCGTCTGGGGAAATAAATGGATAAACAAGAAAATTGTTTTGCGGCACACTCACTGTGAAAAGCAAATAGCCCACGGCCATCGTTGGCCAAGAAGATGCCATGTCGAGTGTGAGAACTTTTTCCCATTGCTTGATTTATTTTATTTTCCAGCTAGCCATGCTCGCTTAGTGGCTCGTATTTGGGTTAGGCCAGCCAAAGCAGCAGCGGCATCAGCAGCAACAGCAGCAGCAGCAGCAGGGGATGCGATCTTTGGCAAGCCGAAAAAGAGAATCGAGCCATGTTCGATTCCGACGGTGCCTGCCCACACAATTCGGATATACAGATGCAGAGGCGGAGGTGGCCCATTCATCGGACCAGTATTTGTGAATGAACCGAATGCGAAGGCAAACAAACACAACACCCAAACGAAACGAAGGCAGGCTGAAAACGAGAAGCGGAGAGGAAAACGCATATGAAATCATTCTGTTGGCGGCTCGACCTGCCTTATCCGAGCGTAGGCCGCTCAGTCGAGTTTCAGACGCCGTCGCGTTCAGTTCGTCGGTCGGTTTCAGTGGAAGACGTTTACAATTCCTGTGTGTGTGTTTTGACCGCCTGCAACTTGCAAAACAAAAGTACGCCTCTGTGAAAATGCAAATTTGACCAAGCACTCGAGTGGCTGTCGTCGGTCGGTGGAATTTGCCCGCACATCGCTACCTGGTCGTCATCATCCCTCTGAAACTCTGGGAATCCTGACGAGGGACGGGGGGCCAAGGCAAACGTCGCATCCGTTTCCGGTTCTTTCTGTTGATTGTTACCTACATCTACTTGCAGTCGCGCTGGGTTTTCATGAATGAAATTTTAATTTCGTGTGTGCGCGCGAGTGTTTGTGTGAGCCGCAAGTCCAGTTTTGAGCCCGAACTCCAGCGGTGTCAACTGACGAAGGCCCAGCAATCGCATTGTCGTCAGTGCACCGTAAAGATCTTTATCGCATTTTAAACACAAATACGTTCTGGAGCAGAAGGCAAGAGGACGCGGTCGTCAGGTAGAAGGGAAACCAAACATCGGAAACATCGGCCAGGTTAATGCGGTTTATTGTTCTATGAACGCTGGCACCGTCGCTCTGTTTAAGTTTCGCACGCTGATAAAGAGGACCCCGCCCATCGAAATGTGGCCAAAGCTCTGGTGAGTCTCGTCTCTGGGTTAATTCGACGGCAAATAAGCATTTATGTCGCTCCAAATAAAAGACGCCCACCATAATTTATAGGTTTGAGATTCAAAGTGGTTCGCATTCGCCATTTTCTACTCTCTCCTCGCGTGTATAACAAAGATTAGCACCTTTTAGTCTAATAATAGCGGACGATTCGAAGGCAACCTTACCGCCGGGCACATAATAAACTCGTATTAAAATTCAAAGTCATAATGATTTCAATCAACTCGCACAACGCATGCCACTTCCGTTGTGTGCGTCTCAAATTTCGTATAATTTCACGGGCTAATGTTTTCCCAATTCACCTGAGATACCCACGCAGTTCGAGGGCTAAAAAAAGAGAGAGACACTCAAAGAAACCCACACACGGAGGCTCCACTGTCTTTCCCGCTCAGTTTACGCGCAATTAACGCTTTGTTGTTGCTTCTCCAACCTCTTCTAATTTCATATAACTCATCATTTTCACAGCGGGCAGCTCTGGATGTTCGAGCTCAGCTTACGGCGACAATGAAATACGTAAAGGAAAAGACTTTTATTTACATTTCATTTTCAAACGCCCACAATAACAATGAAAGCGGAGAGGGAAAAAAAGATTGCTCATAATTAATGTTTATATAATTTTTTACTGCTTTACATGCGGCTCATTAGCCGCTTGGCTCTTGGAATACCCCGCTCGGTTTCTGTTCTTCTTGGCTTGACGCGGCAGGTTCGTTGCCTAAGTCTTTTGTTTGCGAACCGTGGGCGTCCGCCTGATGCGGCACAAAAAAAACTATATATACCCAAGTAAAAAAGATAAAATAAGAGACATTTGTGCTACTTACTTGCCGCTGTCGGTTGCTCCACAACCAGTTGCCAAATTTGGCAATGGGAGCGCAGCAACAGCTGCCTGCTGCCCACTTACTTTTTTTTTTGTGTTGAGCTCAAAGTGTGTCGCTGTCATCTGACGATCCAACGAGCTAATGTTTTTAGGTCCCCCCATCCCCCCCACAAAAGAATACAAAAATGATGCTTCGCTGACTAGCCATCTGACCGAAGGGAATGGACGTTAGGACCTTCGCGTTCTCTCCAGTTTCTGGCAGTGCATGCATAACTTATACAGCCATTCACTTAGCATACTCCTCCGCAGCATCCGAGCAATTTCTTGCCATACAACTTGGCTCCGTCTGGCATTTGCATTCGTGTGTGGGCAGCTCTTGGTGTGGGCTAGACCAAGATCTCTTGTGGTTTCTATCTGCCAACTGATGTCGCATAATATGTTTAATTTAGTCTATTTCCAAGCCCATTTCCGTGCAGCGTTCAGCTTTCTTCACGTTCAATATTTCCCCCTAAAATTTAATTGATTTTCCAAATCTCGCCAGCAGCGATTTCCATTTTATTGGTATCTTGGTATCTCTGTGTTTTTGGCTCGGTTTGTCTCGGCTTTTGAAATGTCGCAATTAACAGTCGATTTAGCATTATGCACATGCGTTGGCGGCCTCCTCGTGTCTCAACTGGATTTCTGAGTTTTGCGTGGGCTGTGAACTTGGTTTTTAGGTTTATTGTCGGCTCCGATGTGGAGGTGTTCGAGTCGGGGATATAAAAAAAGGTTTTGGGTGGCAGATATCTCTGGGTGGGTCTACCGATATTCAAATAATAAAGTCAAATTAGAGTTCCATTTCAATTCCATTTACTCAGATGTTGTGTCATTATAGATGTTTTGATCTTATCATCGGTAATTGTCGAAGAAAATGTAACTACCGTCGTAAAAATGGCGCAACCACTATTAAAATGTCTTATTAAAATTGTATGCTCCACTTTTACGGCATAAAAATGTGGCATAATGATTTCATCCTGTCTTCGCGATTGTTCTTGATGTTCTCATTTATTATATTGAATATCGATCGTTTAAAATGCACGTTAAGAATACATAAACACTTTGATACGCATTAAATAAATGACCCAAAGGCAAGTGAAATGGGCTGCAGGAGCGGACGGACCAGAACCCAAATGTCCATAAATTTCGAGCTCAAATTGCTTTTAGTTGTCGACTGCCGTCGGCCATATTCATATGCAAATGGCGAACGAAAAAAAAAACAGACACACTTGGATTTAAAAACGTTTTGGACCAGAGCGAAGGCAACGAAAAATCCAATTTAATTTAAATTAAACACAGCCCGGTCCAAGTTCATTCATGTTCAGGCTCGGACAGAGGCAGAGGCCCATAAAGTGCAAGATTTGGTAAATAAAAATAAAAATGCAGGAGAACAAAACACGGCTTAGGCCATTCCGTCGAATGGTTTGTTTACCTTGCCCCAGGGGAAATCGCTCCGAATCGGATCGGATCAGCCAACTGTTTTTCACTCGGCCACATACTTATTTTATTTCATTGTGTTTCACTTTACATATTGGCCTCATCCGAGCCAACAAAGGGAATTACCCTGGGACGGGGGTTCGACTTGCAGCGATTGCTGTCACTTATTGGTTACTCTGTCTGCGATTTGGTTAATTGTTCGAGTGTCAGTACTTGGCCGACCAGCTGCCCACGTGTATGTTCAATTAAAAAGTAATTTGCCCAGCACAGTCAGTCCGTAAACAAAAGGCGAAAACAGCCAAGGCAGCAAAAACGGCCAAAACCAAAGCGTTTCGGAGCAGAGACGACAGCCAGCCACCCACACGTTTCCGCTGACTTGTCGTCGGCCCACTCTTAAAAATAATACTCACTAATTTTATTTCTCGGATTTGTTGCTCTTGTGTGTTTTCTGTCGTTTCTTTTTTTTGTTGCTTACAGCTGGAACAAGTTTGTCAGACCTGTGATTTGCAGTTCGCTTTGACAATATTACCAGCTATTTGAAAATAGCAGGGAACCCACATGAAGTCTGATGTGGCTCGAAGAAAAATTCGTTTAAAAGCGCTTTGAGTCAAAAGAGTGTATCTGAAAAATTGGCTTAAATTAACAGATGTGATGTATGTGATATAAGCCCATGGACATCAGGCCTATTGAAATATAGTTTATCAAAACCAAACAGAAATAATAGCTTATCATAAAATAAAATGACTTGAATAGAATACCTAAATAAATTATCTCCAATTTTTTACTTGACTTATATTATATTGTCAAACAATCCCATTTTTAAAATAATTGTATTTATTTGGACGTGTGCTATAGTTCAGTGCCGAAAAAAACAGGCAATTCAATAATTGATTAAGTTAGATTAAAAGCCGACAGATTGGGCTACCATACGAAATGCCTGTCATATAAACATAAACAAATAAAAGGCCTGATAAACAAGCGGCGTGGGCAATAATACTTACTTATATTGACTCATAATTGTGTGTGGAAATATAATATGCATTTACGATCCTTGTCAGAATTTCAGCATCCGTTTCCGTCTTAGCGCACAGACGACTAAATGAGTCCAGTCATTCAGGCATTCGGATTCCCAAGGCTCGAAAAGGGAAAGGGATTAGGGACAAGAGGACCAGGATAGTCATCACAATTAAATCCCTTTTGCCGGCTTCTCCACAGAATTTGTGTTTTCTGTTTCCTGTACCCTTTGTCTGCTCCTTTTTCCCCCTTTTGGCATGCTAAATATCCAGGCAGACCACAATGGTGATGTTGGGGTGGCTACTTCAGTTTCGAAAGCAGCTGTTTTGGTTTTCCACTCTTTTATTATTTTTTCGTGTTTTTTTTCTTTGTGCCGCACGTCTGTGGCTGCCACTTTGCGTGACATTTCGACCTTTGGCTGGCTTTTGCAGCAACTTTTACTATTTTCATGCTAGGCATAAATTTCATTTGCCACACACACACATGTTACTCATTTCGATGCGCTTTCAACACTCGAACAATGCCCCAGCAGGTTGAACCGCACCGAAAAAATAAAATAAGATAAAATAGCAAATTACTAATTTCGCCTTTGGCCTATGCAACATGTTGCCGTCATTATTATTAGCTACATGTTGCCTAATTTGCTCGCTGCAACAGTTGCTGCTGTTTCACTGTCGTTCGTTTGCGGTTAAGAGTGCTAAAAAATAAAATATTTTACGGATAAATAATTAGGCAACCCAACTGCAGCTGACGCTAAAATTACGTTTCCCAAATTGCTGCAGTGGTTAAAATGCAAATGCAACATTTTATATACCAAATCTATCTTAACTATTCCAGAATGAAACATTTTATATAGATTTAAGTTCAGTTACTGGTAATACAAGTTGATTAAAATGATCACTATTCAATTTACTGATCTAACCAATTTTAACTGAAGAGCAACTACCATTCGTTATCTCCCGATCAACCATTACTTGCTATTTTTTCGCTTTTCATTTATTGCCAAAGAAGGCGAGCTAACAAAAAACGCGTTTTTAATTGTTCAGTGGCTTATCGCATGTTTTGGCCATTTTGGGAGCTCAAAAATGTTAAGTAAAGGAGAGAGGCATAAAGACAAGAAACAAAATAATAACACATTATGTTGGCTGGTGTGCCAGTTGAGCCGCAAATTATGTGCAAAATAAATAAGAATCGCTTTTTTACGATTCGTTGTTAGCCAATGATTGAAATTTCCAATCAGTTTTGAAATTTGTGGCGAGTTTTCAGAGTCAGCTGCACATTGAATACACACTCGCACCCATTTTGCGGCGTCATTATCATATCGCTGTATCTCCTGATCTTCATGCAGCATCATCAGGCGGCAAAGTCGCTCCGTTCCGAGGAAAAACGTTGCAATGCCGTTACCAACGCAATCCACTTCCAACCATTTGGCCGTGCTTACACCCATATAGCATCGCATATATGTACATCAGAGGGTTTATTTCCGTTGACGTGCCTTAATTTCAGCCAGTTTGGGACTGGCTCTTGCCGCATTTCTGCTGTTCCTGGTGCTTTGCTCGTTGTCTTCGCTCTGATGATGATAATGACTATATGGCGCTATGAACCTACACAGCAAACAGCCAGCCGATTTCGAGACCCCAAAAGGGTGTTTCTTGGGTAAAGAAAAGGTTTGGAAATACTCTAGGCATGATATTTAGCCTAAGGACTTTTGACTGCTATAAAACAGATGCTAAATTAGTTTATTTTATTTCTAAAGGTTAAAAGTGAAAAGTCTTCAAGATTGGTTTGCCATATTCAGTATACATTTGATAGCCTAATAAAAAAGTTAATGTATTAAGCGGGTGCCACAATCTACATATCAAATTAAGCAGCCGTGTTATTTAAATCTAAACACTTGCAAAATAAATAAAAAAGGAATTCCAGTCAATTTAGATGTGGAAAGTCAAAATTAAAAATATTTAGTAAAATTATGTGAAGAATGGCTTAGGGCTTACGTAAATTAAATTTAATTTGATCAATCAAAATAATTTTAGAAAATAATAAATACAAAACAAAAAGCTTTTATATGCATGTAGAGCATTTGAAAACCGCCTTTAGCTCCAACTAATTCTGATGTGTGGGAGCTGGCGGCTCTGGGCCCAAATGAATAATCAACCCAAACTGGCGTCTCCAGTCTGCACACAAAGGTGATGGCGACGACTGCTTTTGGATCTCTTCGGATTGAGAGGGGCAACTGGTTGTTGTGGCTTGATTAGCGAGTCCGCGATAAGTCCAAAGCCAAATAGACGCCGAAGAGGCAGCTCGTTGGCCAATGGATGTTGGCGGATGGATGTGTTTTGATTGAGTGCTCCTGCTGAGTCAGCGGCGACAGGTCAGCGCTGAGATCCGAATCCTGGAGGTGTGAGGCGTGGCATTTTATGCATAATTAGCCACTCTGGGGGCGGGGCCAAAACCAAAGAGCTGGTCGGGGGAGAGCGGAAATTAAAGGCACTCAAACGTTTCGAATCGTTGACCAGTTAGCGTGACAGAGGTGGAGTTGAGCTGAGCTGCATTTTAAAATATATTTTTATTGTTGAGGATGTTGTCGGTGTGTACGCAGTGGTCAACACAACACTTGACTTTATATCGCTGCACAGAAAGAAATTTTGTTTAATTTTTAATATTTATACAAATGTTTTTTTATGATTATGAATCTTAAAAAAGGTTATCCTTTAATGATGAGAAATTTTTTAATAACTGTATTTGAAAGTCCCATTCTGCAATTCACCCTTCAATTTTCCTTTCACTATCTCCTTGTTTTTAGGAACTAGTAAAGGCAGGCCCGTATCCAGAAATTTTTTTCGGGGGGGGCTCAAGGACAAAAATCAACAAAAAATGTGGACTTATTCGAATAATTTCAGAAAAAGGCAAATCACACATCAATCTTTAATCAGTACGTGACGTTTGATATTTTATTATTCCTGTTAGGTCAGGTTTCTCCTACTGAAGACTTTTTAATGAAAAATTTTAATAGAAAAAATTTTTGAATTCAAAGATTTCGGGGGTGCCCGGGCCCCCCGAGCACCCCCCCTGGATACCGTGCCTGAGTAAAGGTGTAGATAACTTTTCTTAGCACAATAAACGATCTTTAAAATTCCGATATTTTTTCCGTGTGTAGTTTTAGTAGCAACACTCAGATTTATTTTGACCACGTACATATGCAAAACGCATTCTAATGGAACCGGCGAGCCGGTGTTTCCTCTGCCCATGTTTGGCCATTGTAGTTGGCAGTTACGCTCTGATTTTTGAGCCTCCACCTGTTGTTGTTCGCCTTTGGCTTTGCACGCTTCCCTGATGCCCTGCGGTGCGTTCGCAATTGTTGCCCAGAAACGGAAATGCCGCCTTTTGTTGAGCGGAAATGCAAAATGATATTGTTCGCCGGGCAGTGGCAAGAACCTAGTTGATATGATTGACTTTGAATGGGTCTCCGATTGCAATGCGCTGCCCTGCAGCTATCAATTACCCCCAGTCGCCGACGAGATGTCACCGGAGAGTGCCATCAAGATCCCAAACGCCCAAACAAAAACGACAGATCGCCCACTTGGAAACCCTCAGTCTGCGATTTGCTCTCCCTGTGTGGGCAATCAGCAAATGCAGATCCGGGCAAGCAATTATGCAAAGCATTCATGTATCTATATTTTTAGTTAGATGCTCGAGTAGTACAGGGCAATATGGGTCTTAGCCGAGAAGGAATCCGCGAGGTGTTCGCAGAGGAGACAGGCTGCGCAGGTTGCAGGCCACGCGGAGATTGGGAAGATTCTGGGGATTGCGGCAGTAGCGCTCCCAGCCCTTCCAGTACTTGAAGCCCTCGCGCTCTTGGATCATTCTGGCACAGGCAATGTCGTCGCCAATATCGTCATTGGAAAAGTCTATAATTTAAATAGAGGGTTATAAATAAAAATAATTGTATAAGAAACTAGAAAATCATTGATATCAGGAATCCGGTTTATAAGGTGTACTGATATTAAATATCAGTCAATAAATAATATATGAATGTAAATAAGAATCTATCTATTTTCATTTCCGCTTGTCATGTACTAAAAAAGTATAAATTTTATACTATAAAATATTGGACTTACCTTCACATTTCATGTTGCACTGCCCTCCTTTTCGACCCTCGGAACAATAATTTTTGCTGCTGATCTGGAACAGACCATAGTTTTTGCTATCGTTCTGGTTTACAGTTATTTTGCTGGTGTCCAGGTAACTCTCGTGCTCCACCAGACAGATCCCTAACAATATTTCTTTAGTGAAAGAACTGGCCTTGCTTTGCAAATAACTTACAGTTGGAGATGAAAGTCTTGTCAAAATGATAGTTTTCCACCAGAACTCGGGTGAGTTCGCATCGCTGATATTTCTTAGACTCCACTTGCTTTGATTCCAGCAGCAGCAGGATCAGCACTGGTATTATCCACATACAAACAGTTTTCATTTTTGTTAGATCTAAAAGAGGGAGACCTGTCAGTTGGATTACAGGGTATTGGGCAGAGTTTGATCCTCATTATGTATGGGCACAATTAACCATTAACCCAAACAGTTCAGAGAGTTCGGGCGCTTGCATACTTTTTCTATATGCACTTCCCTATTCACAGCTAAAACACCTGCTTACACTTATTTCTTTTTCGAATTGAGCACTTTCTTATAGAACTTTATAAGCGTTAAAATACATCTGAGCGGTTGGCCGTTTTAGTGAAGATTCGTTCACAGTTTTTCGACTTCTCACAGTTTCTTCTGGCATTTCTTTATTTAACACCAAACAAGAACTCTTGAATTCCAACTAATGATCAGTCTAGCAACAAATTTCCATTTGTTATGCCTTTGTTTACTCCCACACGATTTTTTGGGACTTGTTTTTTGCATCTATATATCTTTTTATCAGTGTGTATATCAGTCAACTTATCTGAAGAGATACCTATCACGATTGTCAAGGAAAGACGGATATAAAGTGTCTTCTTGTTGAGGTATTCCAATATTTAATTATATATAGTGGTCATAAATAATTTGCCTTAACAGCCAAAACAGCGTTGATATTTGTATAGTATAGTTTAGGCATTATAATCACGTGTTACTTAGAATGCTCAATCGAAGCCATAATTAATTTTAAGTATATAAAGCGTAAAAGTAATTAATAAGGGCATACGCATTATATAGCTTACAACAATTAGACATTTCAGGGTCACCGAAAGTAGATAAACAACCAAAAAACTACTCAAATTTGGAGGGCGTTCTTGATAGATCATTAAGTATACGCAATGTACACGTTTCACTTTTATTCGAGATTTGCAGGCACGCGAATGTAATAATACGTTTGTGTTACTTCCTCTGGCAGAACACTTTTACTTCAGCAAACTGTTTGTTTACTTTGTTTACCTAATTAACGCAGAACAACAGCGAGGAAACGGGTTTGTTGAGGGGAATCGCAGATTGCGAGTATCTGTATCTTCTTACCGCGTTTCGTGGGTTTCGTTTCACGATTGCGTGCTTTTAAGTACATATAATTTTGAACTGCCGATCGGGTCCGATGAGAAGCTAGCCCGCCGGTGCGACGCTGCTGACCCGAGTTTAAGTACTGAACGCCCAAGTATTTCTCAGATCCAATTGCGCCTCACTTTGCAAATGAGTCGAGGTAAATTCTCTCCCAAAACGCCGATTGAAGAGCAAAACACATATGCATGAATTCGCTCGAAAGACTGATAAAGTTGATAAGACCTGTTGCCACGGTTGAATTACCACATGAACTCTCTGAAAAATCAGTTGATTTAGGGGGAATCGAGGAGGGGGAGTACTTTCTCAGTTGTGGGTGGGCCTGTAAATATCGGAACTTTCGTATTGAGTTCAGCGATCTTCTGGTTTTATGTAACTATTGAAATTCTTGGGTAAATAAAATTCTTTGTATTCAGAAAGTGTCGCTGCATTTCATGAGATTTTGGGAAATTTTCACTTTTGGGGCTTTTGCTAAAAATGGGGGCGGAATTTTTTTTTTTTGATATTTACTTTGAGGCCAATGATTTCTAAAAATAAATTTTTAATGAATTTCCTCCCCTATTTTTATCAAAAGTGCCAAAAGTGAAATATTATCAAATTTTGTATGAGGTCTGCTTGGAAAATGTAATGCGGTTTGATTTTTTCAGATTCTCAATCTATGAAAATTGCTTTATCTTAATTTTTGTTGGCTTATTAAACCAACCGAAACCAAACTTTTTAATTAAAATCAATAAAAACAAACAAGTGGTCAAACTGAATGATTTTTGTTCTTGTTATAAAAAACTTTATCAAAAATGATGGCACATAAATTTTTTTTTGATGATATTTTTGTAAAGTCTATTATTGAGTCACCTTAAAAAATGAATATTCTATATGATACCTTCAGCTAATCAAAGGCTAATGATTGGCACTCGGAACAAAAACAGCTTTGCGACAGTAACCGCATTCCGCTGATCCCGGGATTTTCCTGGAAATATTTTAATTGCGCGATTCCGAAAATTAATATACAGTTTTCAGACATATTAACTAAAGCTTTATGGGCCTAGTAGTACTGCATAGAGTAAGTTAAAGCTAAGATCGAGTCGAAGTGCAGTCCTAGCAACGCGAAACATCGGGGAGCGTGCGCCCACGACATTTGCTCATCCATCCGGGCCAAGCTTGAAATCCCTGGCGGTTGAAGATCTGCATGGCACAGCGTGAGTCATCCGAGATCTCATCGTTTAGGAACTCTGAAACGAAAAGCTCTCCATATATATCTTCGCTTTTCGTGGGCGTTCGGGGAATTTGGACTCACCTTCACATTTAATATTGCAGATGCCGCCACGACGACCTTTGCGACACCAGTTTTTGCTGTTGATCTGCGGATTTTAAAATAAGTTATAGGCGGTCAAAAATACAAATGTAAGGCCCATGGGAAAACCCACCTGGAAGAGTCCATAGCTAACGCTCTGATTAGGCAACTGCATAGATTTTGATGTGCTACGTCCGCTCTCCGCTTCCACCAGACAAACCCCTAAAAGAAAGGAAAATACATTTTTTTTAAACCCTGAACTTATATTCATGTTTTCTTTATTAATTCCAACTTTTATAATTTGCTTATCTTATTAAAAAGTGCTGAGCAAAAATGCTAAAAATGTTAACAAATATGTACAACAACGTAGAAAGTAAGAATCTAATTTATTAAAGTAAAATTTTGTTGTAAATTTATTTTACACACAAATAACTACATTTATCTTCAATAAAACCGTAAAAATGATAATTTTTAACATATTCTTATACTCACAATTGGAGAGGTAACTGCGGGGAAAGTCGTGACGCAATAGCTCCTTGGCCAGCTGACAACGAGTCAGTAGTTTCGACTCGGTCTCCCATTGCGAAAGAAGGAGAAGATTGAGCACCAGGACGAGGGCACCGCCCTTGGGCAAGTGACTGGCCATATCGGCTTAAAGGGGAATTAGATTTTATTAGATTTTGGGGACCACTGCTAATCCTTTGGTTTTGGATAATTCAAGAGCGCTTCCCTCCGCGGCAACTGCGAGATTTTGCACTTTGCTGCGGAATTAATTCTACGACACTAGATGCGTAGCGCCCGAAATCTGGGTTTTTAAAGCCTCGCACGCAGTTTTTGTTTTCTTCTGGAAATGGGAGGCGACATTCGGGAGCGTCTGGTGACATGAAAAAAATACGCGGGTTACTCAATAAATGAGGTGCCTCAAAAAAAAAAAAAAACAGAATAAACAATAGAAGTTTTCAGATTTTCTTTTGGCTTTTACAAAGAAAACAATAAATTATTAGTCTCTTAAATATCATCCCTAAAATACCTTTATATTTTATAAAATTATTAAATTTTCTTGCCGTGCATTCAATAAATCGCTTTGATTGCGTTAAGCTGTAAATTGGCAAATTGTCTTGCAGAGATAACAATGGGAATCTTTAGCCCGAAACGCATCCACTGGATACAGATGCACTCTGTGTGGGTGTTTGTGTGTCAGAGTGTCAGTGACAACTGCGGCTTGACCTAAAAACGCACGATCTCATGATGTGCGAGTAGTGCAACCCATTCCCAGTATCCAAGTGTTTTCGATGCACTTTTCAATGCACGTCCGACTAATTTCCATGAAAATTTTTCCACTTACAGCCCACTGCTTTTCACGCTCTCGCTGCTCGCCGCCCTGGCAGCGGCCAATGACCTCAAGGATCTGCTAGAGGACAGCACCACGACGACCAGCACCACCACGTCGTCGCCACCAATTATCATAGCTGCTCCCACCACGCCCTCCGCCTATGTGGTGTCCGCCGCGGCAGTTCCCGCCCTTGTTTCCGGTAGGGGAAAGCAGAAGAGCTCCTCCGGAAAGTTTGTCAACAAAAGCTCCCCCAGGAAACGCAAGGCGGAGCAGGTTTCCTCACTGCCACTTCCCGTGGATGACGGCCTCATTGAGTGGAAGTGCCCCAATATCACCGGCACCCAAAACGCGGAACTCGAGTGCGGATGCGACCTGCCTCACACTCTTCGGTGCAACATCGATCTGCACGGAATGATGGTAAGATCCTTTTCAAACCTATTCAGCAATCCAATTCAAAAAAACCTGTAGTCGCTCAGTTTAAATTCATATATCATATAGGCTGTTAAGTTGTTGGAACGAAGTATTTAATAACTTTACAATTTAAGAGCTTCGAAAATAAGCGAGAGCTAAAATGCTTAAAGTGAAGTTAAATGGGAAATACAAAAATACAAACAACTACAGAATTGAAATTATATATGTAAATTTGTCGCTGTCATCTTTTAAATCTGGCCCTTTTAGATAAGAAGACGCAAAAAATCTCGAACTTTGACCCCGACGTGATTTGAACACGCAACCTTCTGATCTGGAGTCAGACGCGCTACCGTTGCGCCACGGAGTCTTATTAAAAAATCTTTGTTTACTTCAGCTTATCTATTAAAAAACTCTCGGTATAAATCAAATTTAATTTAAAAATGCTGATAAGATAGGTGCATTCTGCTGGGCAACTCTTCTTCCCAGCGCGTTAGTCTTATACATAAATAGAATCAGAACATTAGGATATGATTTATGGTGTCCGAAACCATAACTTTATATTACCTGATCACTTGAATTTATCAATTGCTGAACTATTAAATAAAATCTAATACCTTTATTGTATTTCCTCTAAGAAACTGCATCATTAGTTTAGCTTCCATTTTTGGGTCGCTTTTGTTCACATTTTTCCTTTGCTTTTTAAACTAATTTATTGCTATTTTTTTAGCTCCTGTCGGAAAGGCTCCGCACCTCTCCATATTCAATCTCATTGCTGGACTGCTCCCTGCGCAACGTGACCTTCCTGAGCGACGCCAAGATCTTCGATGGCGTTTCGCTACATGGCCTAGTGATCTCCTCCGGCGAAATAAAGAGAGTGCACAAATCTGCCTTCCTGGGAATCCGAGGACCTTTGCAGGCACTCGGCTTGCCTGGAAATGCACTTATGAGTGTGCCCTGGAATGCCCTGTCCACTTTAGGTGCCTTGGAGCGTCTTGACCTGGCCAACAACAAAATCAAGGCCTTGGGCACAGCTGACTTTGTGGGCTTAACCAGCCTAGTCTATCTGGAGCTGAGCAACAACCAGATATCGAGCATTTCCCAACGCACGTTTGGGAATCTTCGCAAGCTGGAGGTCCTAAAACTGGGAGGGAACCGATTGGGTGACTATCCACAAAGTTTGAGATCCCTGAGTCAGTGCCTCAGCCTGCGGGAATTGGATCTGCAGGCCAACAACCTCAACGGACCTCTGAGTGAACAAACGCTACCCGGAATGAGAAACCTAGAGAACTTGAACCTCAATCGGAATCTGATCAAGAGCATTCAGAACAAGGCGTTGGCGAATTTCTCCAGACTAGTGAGTCTCTCACTGCGTCACAATCAGATCGATGTCCTGCAGGACCATGCCTTCTTTGGACTGGGAGCACTGGATAGCTTGGATCTGAGCTACAATGGCATCGTGGCCATTTCCAGTGCCTCCTTGCAACATCTTTCCCGTTTGACTATACTGGATCTCACCCACAACTTCCTGCGCGCTCTGACCTCCGATTTGATAGCACCGCTACCATCTCTTAGGGAGCTACGACTGGCGGGTAACGACATCTCGATTGTGGCCAGGAATGCCATGGACGGAGCTCGGGAGCTGCAGAGCCTGCAGATGCAGGAGAATCCATTGTCCTGCGACTGCAGCATTCGTCCTTTCGCTGAGTGGCTGCAGGAGAGCAAGCTTCACTCCAGCCTGAGTGCCTCCTGTGTGACTCCTCCGAGATTGGAGGGTGCCCCTCTCCTCCAAGTGCCAGTGGAGACCCTCAGTTGCGACATGGACAATGTGGAGAAGGACAACGACAACATCATGGAGCACCTCGAAACGCTGGCTAAACCAAATCAGACATCGCCTATCAAGGATCTCTCCGAGGAGGTGAGTTTTCTCTAAGTAAAAGCAATACATAATCAAATGAATTACATAATTTTTCATAAAATTAAAATATAGTAAATCCTATTTTAGAATATGTGGATTTATTTAAACAGAACTTTTTTAATTATTAAAAATTGAAGTGCTTGCTTGAATAACTTTTAATGCCCAACCCAATTATTTTAAAAATGTCTTTTCGTCACATGTTCTCGCATATGACTCACTCGCATCTTTGTACTTTGGAAAACCACAAATATTTTAAGATTGCTAGATTTATTTTTAATTGGCTTATCAAAAAGTGTAGTCCGCAAAAAATGATTAGGGAGTCTAAGTTCGACTTTTAGATGAACATTTTGTATATACCTACAAATAATAAGTAAAAAGCTTTATAAATAAAACTGAATTGCTTAACACCATAAATAAATACAAAATATTTGATCTATTCTCAGATTATTCTTCATGAGCTGCACTTTTCGGCGGACTATGGATTGATCCTCACCTGGCTCTTGAATCTTAGCAAGAAGGACTATATGTGCGACGCTATTTTTGTCTACAAAGAAGAGCACATAAACGAGATTCTGATAGACAACTCACCGGTAATTATTATGAATAAGCCATATCTAAGTTCCCTTTTCTAATCCCCTTAACATTATTCCCTGCAGATCCATTGCGAGAGTAAAGTGGTTAATGGTCAGAACACAGTCAGTGTCATAGTTCCAGATAGTTCTTCCCTGGAAATAGGGGAAAGGTAAATATTACAAAATACTGATGACATATAAATAACAATAAATAACATATCACATTTCCCTTGCAGCTATCGCTTTTGCTTGGTGATGATCCAGGAGAAGAATCCCAAGGCGGAACTGAACATAGGTTGCTCCAATATCACCCAATTGGAAAGGAGTAGTCCCGGTTCGGTTCCCGTGTCCCGTCAATACCAGCGACGTCCCTACTACTCCGCCAGCGAGCTAAAACCTGAGGTGGTTCCCGAAGCTGGAGAGGATTATCAGATGAATCAGCGACGCTTCAATTCAGTGGTCGGAAGTCAACAGAAGCAGCAGACGCAGCAGCAATCGACTTTGCTGCACAGCTACACGGTGATTGATTCTCTGAACAAGAGTTTCTTGCCGGGATTGGGACTCGGAGTGCTGGTCACCTCTGTGCTGGTCCTGATTTGGGGAGCCACGCGAATCCGGCAGAATGGCGTCTCAAGCGGAGCTAACGAAAGTATTGGCAGCAACAGCAGCAGCATGCACAACAACAACAATAACAGCAGACCGGGAACACCAACGGCCACCACCTGCTACGCCGCCTCGGATCACATAGCCCGCCTGGCGGATGCGGAGAACGGGACACGCTACCTCAAGCTGCAGGCCACCACGAGCCTGTGAGGCAGCCGAAGCAGCCAGTAGCAGAAGCAGCCAGAAGCAGGATTGGACGTTGCACCTGCCCACTCAATAAACCTTGTGATAGTACAGTACACAACCGACTGTACCGATTTGAGTAGTTGTTAACGATATACGTACTCTTAAGGTTCACTGCACTAATCCAAAAAGTTGGCCCACACTAACCCACTTGTGCCATAAGCTAATCGATACGTATCCCGAAACTCCCATATATCAAAAAACTATATACAGCTGAGGTCAAAAGAATAGCTTAAGATTGGCATTTCAAAATTCCACAATATTTGGATTTTATATTATTACTTCTGTATTAATAATGAATAATATTCCATTTATGCTCAACCAACTTAACAAAGTAATTCTACACAAAAGCAGCAAATTCATTAAATTTAATAGGCCTTAAATTACCGCCTTCTTTTGACCTCCTGTGTACCAATTTTCTTAAACGGAGACCCCTTCGGTCTCATCCACAACTAGTGTTAACTTAGTGTTACGCCTCCTTCGTGTTAGAAAAGAACTCGTAAGTCATGACCCCTTAGAATTAAGGCTTTAATAATTTATTAACAAATTCAAAGCACACAGACAGTAGAAAAGAAAAACATAACATAGAACAAATAAAAGTGAAAAGAGAAATAAAAGCCAATTGCAATCGAAGCAGAGTTCCTAAGGTCAGCCGGGCCATTTTTTAGGGATCTATTTTTGGCTTCCAGTCGAAAGGCCGCATAATGCTAAGTGGGCTATTAACCCCACAACCATGACGTCGCGTATAGCACGAACATATGCGTTGTGGCGACCCGTCAACCGAATTAGTTAATTTCTATGGAAATGAGCTCATAGCTTGCCACATCCCACGCTCCCGGGGGAGAATAACTCCTCATGCGAACGCCGCACTCGATACAGGGTACTCCATATTGCTGCTAATCAGTCATTGGTTAATCTATCGACATTCAGGGAATTTTTAATGCTTATCCAGAAATCAAAGTTGACAAGCATGGAGCCGGACTCTGAAAGCCCTTCAATCTCCCATCCTGCGGGCACCTCCCATTCGCTTCAGTTGTGCTTCTGTTGTGGCCATCCGCTGATATGGCGACCGTCCCTCGGCAGCGCGTTGCTGGCTTTCAGGCTGGCTGGCTAGCTGGGTCAGTTGTTCCGTGCCAGCCGTCGGGCGACAACAATGACCAGTCGACGCCGTCAACGCGACAGCATTTATCGATTTTTGCATACCCAGTGGAGCGCTAGGAGCAGTCAAGGAAAAGTTCCAGCTTCGCAGACCCAATTGGGTCGGACTAACGGCCTTCACATGAGCATGCTGGGATTTGTCTACCTGGTCCTCATCCTGGGTTGGATACTGATCGTATTGTTTCTGAAATGCAAAAAGTCCTTGGCCGCTCCCTTTCGCTTTGGCGAAAACTACACTGATGCCATCGCCGATACTGGTAGGTTTTTCTTTATGAACTTGGTACTTCATTACAAAAAATCGGAGCAATTTTATTTTTACTCTTATCGTTAATAAACAAATAATATTTATTGCACCATAATTCCAAAACTAGCTTTAGCGAGATATTCAATTCAAAGCCATTAGATAAAGTGGTCCGAGATAAGCCAAAATAATTGCGGTTTATAGTTTATTGCATTATCAGCCGGATAACATTATTAACGCATTAATAACCAAACTGATTGTTATCTACCCCTTAGAGCGCCGGCCCTCAGTGCATGTGATCCAACTCCAGCACGATGATGTGGAACGCGAAGATCATTACTTGGACAACTTTCACCGCAACACGGAGAACCTGCAGCGCTACTCGCATCGCTCGCAACGTTCCACTTTGGAGGAGCGGACAATTGAGCGGACCTATCCCACGGATGCGGTGATAAATCCTGCCTATATGCACGATGAGGACTACGTGATCAATGGTAAGTTCAGGCATTCTTCTTTACATTCCAGAAGTAACAAGTTTTCATTGAAGCCCCGCCACCATCTTACGAGGAGGTGATGCGCCAGCCGCAGGTGTATCCTCAGGTGCGCCACAACAACCACAAGATCAGCGATGCTGACATCTAGCTTAGGTATCCAAATTTCAAAGTGTACATATACATATTTTGTCTTGGTCAGCTGTGATTTACATATTTTGTTTGGATTTTTTATTTGACTTGCACCTAAAAAAAGATAATCAATTCGATTGATTCAACTTAGGTGGCCTGCGCCTTCTTGCACTGCGAATAATAGTAGTTTTACATAAAAAATGTACAAAATGATTTTACATAAATAGGTATGATTAATAGTTATGATTATGATTAATGATAACAAACAAACAGTCAGTCCACGTGTGCAGTTGTTACAGATTGTAATTGTAAATAAATTAAGAGTGAAAAAAATTCTAAATAAAATGTGTACAAAAATAAAACGTTTCCCTTTGCATTCTTTTGGCTAAATTAAGTCGCTAAATTCGATATAGCTCGTACATACAGACAGACACCCAAGCTTGTACATATCGATACATAAATTGTGTTCCAACGTGGCTCAGTGTATTCACAGTTTTAATTACTTTTGTTGCGGCTGTTGCCTTTGGCAATCTAAGGGAGCACCTTGTGCACGCTGTGCATTTGAATGAAGGCCTCCAGTTGCGTGGGTATCAGACCCTTGAAGTTAAGCCGATTGGTTGCAATGGTGCGGGCAGCGAGACACTTGAGGCTGGTGTGGGCATTCTGATAACCATGCAGGCGATTGGCCAAGACAGCTGTAGCACGAAATAAGGTTTTTATAGGGTCAAGTGGAGTATATTTTATTAACTTACGTAGCTTGCAAGCCGTGGCCGCTGTCTGACCAGCCGCGTTTACCGCATCCAAATGGGCGCCAGCCTCCACAAACAGCTGAAGAATTCGCGCCATTTCCGCCTGGCGATCCTGTGAAGTGTTCACCTTTGTTACCAGGATGTGAAGCGGGGTGTTTCGAGCGGCATCTACGGCAACCACAGAAGCGCCGCAGTGCACCAGGACTAGAGCAGTGGCATAACAAGGGAATCTATAAGAAAAACAAATATATATGTGTCAGAATCTCAATTTGCTCAAACATTCAAAGTCCTACCTGCACATTTCATTCGTGTAAAACTCATCAACTGGCATTATTCCATTCACTGCAATGTGCAACAATGTCTGCCCATCCTGCAGTCGAGTGTCATTCTGTATGAACTTGCGCACCACCAGAAATAGCTGCTGAATTTGATCCTCGTTGATGCTCTGGTCCTTCCTGCCTCGCGCCAAGTGAGTTACTATCTTTATAAGATAGAGAGCAGTAATGCAATTTTGATTATTTTGGTCCTGCCACAAACTAGGGCAAGTGTTGGGCTTGGCTTCCTTTATTTTGAACTTATTGTTCTCGATCTCCTGCTGGCACTTGGCCAAAACGGGGAGAACGTGATCCAACCTCAGGTTGTGGTTCTCTACCCGCAGAATCTGAGCGAAAAGCTGGGCAAAACGTAAGAGATCGCGATCCACCGAAACCTAAAAAACATAAAATAAAGAATAAGGATATACTCTTATTTCATTTAACATGAATGTCAAACTCACATTATTCATCATTCGTAGATCTATGGCGTAGTTCCAAAGGTCCTGGCAGGGGTAGAACCTTCCCTGATCGGCCATCACAGCTCCCCGATAGATGATGGCCTGAGGCAGCTCCGGATTATTGCGGCCCAGTATGCGTTCCCTTATGGCCAGCGACTCCATGTGGATGGAGTGGTGGTTCAGCTTAATGGCATACAGTTCGGGCAGATTTTCAGTCTCAAACCAATTGTCGTAGGCAGGCACCGTAGGCTGAACTTTCTTGCGGATCACACCACGTGGATTGCTGTACCGCATCTGCATGGCTCTCAGCAGATAGCTGTACGCCTTATTCACATCGTACTTGGTTTTGTCATTTGCGTAAGTGGCTCCCATCAACTCCAAGGCAGTGATCTGCTCCTCTAAGCTCATCAGACCCGGTCGTTGAATGAACGCCTCGACGACATCCTCGTGAAGCCGTTCGGCTGCCTGCAAGGCGGGTGTGATGCCCAGTTCGTTCTTCTTAAGAGTGGCTCCGTGGTCCAGCAGAGCCACCACCACATCCAGGTGACCGCTCTCCGCCGCATAGTGCAAGGCAGTGGCTCCACACAGAGCTTGATCGTTGGCTCTCGATCCATTTTGAAGGAGGGTGTTTACCACCAAGTGGTGACCCTTGTAGGCGGCAATCATTAGCGTGTTATTGTTAAACAAATTCGTAGCATTGACGTCAGCTCCGTTATCAATAAGGAATTCAACGATGTCTAATCGACCTGGAAGAGTATTGTTGTTTATAAAGTGGTTTCATATTTAGGAATTAAGCTATTAACAGCTTGAATCATTTACAATTAGTTCATTTAAACTTCTCATTGCAATACATTAAATACACATAAAGGCCGATCGATTCTCACCCTCGTAGCATGCTGCTCTCAGCGGCGACGACTGCGCCTTGGTGTTGTGATTGATGGCCGCCCCCGCCTGGACGAGCATTTTGACAATCTGCAAGTGACCCATTCCGGCAGCCACCCACAGGGCGGTTGCACCGTAGACGACCATTCCGTCGAAGATGACATTGCACTCTCGTTCCAAATCCACGTCGTAGTGAGACAGCAGGGTTTTGACAAATTTCACATTGCCCGACATTGCGGCCATGGTTAGCGGGGTTAGCGATTGTCCATCTGGCTGATCGAAATTCTGGGGAAGAATATAGAAAGTAGAACATTAGAAAAACTCAAAAGACGTGATGTGCGTGCGCAGCCGTTTCACAGTCAAGGTGGGACGAAAATAGTGCGTCGCAAGTGATAAATGTAAGGTATAAGAAAGATCTCTGGGAGAAACGAGAATGCTTTCTTTGTTCGCTTTACATGGGCGTAAAATCGGGCAAAACAGCATCCATGCCAAAGTCCATAAACTTGGTTATTGCGTTGTGCCACGGAAATAGCTGCCATCTGGGTCAAGAAACTGCTGGCGCTGGCCAGGGACACTCACTCACCGCCGGATACGTGATGTAGTTGGTCACGGGCAGCGTGTCGTTAGCTCCTCGCCAAAATCCGGCTCCTGGCCAGGCGGACTCATACCAGCGCTTGCGAGTGCTGCAATTACATAGTTCCGAAAAGGGAAAAGCGGTTGGGTGTGGAGGTTTATCTATGTAGCTGGAGCTTGGGAAAAACCCATCTATTACCGATACAGCTCCGCGTGCATGGCCTGGAATCTGAATTTCAACTGGCAGCTGTCTGGACACCGTGTAGGTCCTTAGGGCGAGGCGAGCACCGAAAAACTCGATAAAACTTCGCCAGGCTCACGATTCCCATTCTCAACCCTAAGTTTGCATACGCAGCCGTTTTTGGGGGTTAAATCGAAACGAATACCATCGAGAGGGAGCGAAACTGCGCAGGGCCAAACAGCTGTTGGCGGAGAGAGGTCCTTGAGGGTTTGTTTACCGCCCGCAGCTGTTCGCCTGCATTCCTGTGAGCCATCCTCACTTAAGGAGAGCGAGAGAGAGCCACAAAATAGGGGGTGTGAAAGAAAGTCAACTGCAGTTCTACACGAAAAACAAATGTTTATACTAATTGATATTTTGAAATAAGAAAAACTAAAAGAAAAACGTAGCTATAGAAACATTATTTTCTTTGCGGATCCCTGCAAATCAAAACTAGAGCGCATTTTCCAAGAAAAGTATTTTGGTACTATTGTAGCTATATGGTTTTAAGCCATAATCAAAGCATTCCTCGATCTCGAGGATCTCTTCCTGAGTCTTGGCTTAAATGAACCTAACGAACATGAAGTGACTCAAGTAGAACTTGGTCAAAACGTTATAACAGGTTTAAAGGCTACATCTTCTGATTAAAAATCTGAAGGCGACATTCAACATCTACAAAAACTACAAAAATACTTTGATGCATTATTTATGAGACTTATAATTGTTCAACAAAGTTCGATTAGATTACGACGTAGCAGAAAAGGTGTCGAAAATTTGTTGTTAATAAACAAATTAATAAACGCACGTTTCACATTTAAGATTTCAGGAAACTGCAAAGCATTCGATCTGGCAACTGGCCAATTCCGTGTCCAGAGAGCCACGCCACCGCTGAGTAATTGGTTAAAGATGGCCCGAGTGTCATCCCCTTGATATCCAATTGATTGTGACTGTGACAGTGACTTTCGGTGCCTTAAATAGGGTTTTGAACTGAATTGTTGGGTCATTAATTTCGAAAATTTGCGGCAAATACTATGGGTTGCCTAAGAATTAGGTTGTTGTTTTTTTGACAGAAAAAAAGTTAGACAACAGCTCACCGAGCTGTTATCCAAAATGTAAACACAAGAAACATGAAGACCAAATTTTTTTTAATGAAATTTTAATAGTCTTTATCGCGCTGATTGTATAAACGATTCTTTAACGAACCTATGATAAGAAAGGGCAGTAAGTTCACGAATTAATTTCCAAAAAAATAAACATTAAATGTTCTTGTTCAGCAAGTGTTCTCTGTACAATGGAAACAGCATGTTTTTCTCTCTCCTTCGCTCACTCGTTCTCTCTCATAAACAATGACAAACCAAGTAAATACCGAAAGCAAAAACCAGCAATGGAGCGTATAAAAGCGCTCTATGCGGCAGCAGACTTTGTTTTACATATAAACCAAATAATACGTATATGTTCAGCGGCGATTTTCATTAATGACGCAGTAGTAAATTCAGGCAATTACGCAAAAAGGTGTTCCACCATCGGCTTGTTCGTGCCATCGGGTACTCACTGTATTGACCAGGTGGGCCTGCACCGCCCTGCAGCTAACTGTGTTCAAAATCTCGACGAAACTCAACATCTGGCCATGGCGGGCCGCCAAGTAAAGACTGTTCAGTTGGGCAAACCGTAGGCGAGGCTCCTGCGGAAACTTGGCCCGGATCTCCTCGGAGATCTCAACCAGCATTCCGTGGGCCATGTTGAAGTAGCCGAAATCCGGCGGATAACCGTCGTAAATAGACGTGTGCGCGTCGTCGCGAGCCTCTTCTTCCGGATCGACCTCCATTCTGGCCGAGATTATTAAAGATATTGCACTAGTGATCACCAGGAATGGAAACGATCCACTGACAGCCGAACGGTAATACTCTTTCCAGGCGCGCGTACGTTCACACTTAGCGATGGACCTGCGAAGGGGCAAGCAGTGCCCATGCGATAGTTGCACTTGTTGCTTGCGGCTGAATTCGAAATACACTGGATAACTAAGAATGGAAACCGATTACCTGATAACATAAAACTAAATGCTAGTTACATTATAGTCGTTTATTCACGCATTTATTAAGATATCACATTTGCTCTTGGATTTTAAACGAATGCAATCCTGAACATTTATGAAATACAGCTTGAAGCACTGAAGTGTTGACATGCATTGGGAATTCAGCTGTAGTTTCCTTCTTCATCCATTATTCTGTTATTCTTCTTAATGTGTTATGTAAGTGTCGTGACTGCGTGTTTTCGCATTTTGAGTTGCCGTCGTGCGTGTGTGGGTAGGGTCAGTTGTTGCTTCTACATGTTCGGAGTACTTAGCTTAAAATGTGAAAGTTTTCAACATTGGCCCAGGCCTAATACTGTTTATATGTAGATTCTGAGTGTGTTCGTGAGGCCTGTCCAATGCAAAATTTTCATCGAGGCGTTTCTTAGATCATATTTTTCCAATCGCCCGTCCTGGTACGACATCATGCTTATCGGTATGCCTGGAAAACTATGCCTAAACGCTGCTGCGGTCATTATTTTCTGTACAATCATTATGCTCAAGGGTTAATTTTCTTCTTCTCCATCATTCTCATAATCGTACGATCCGTTCTTAATATACATATATACAAGCATGTTGCTCCAAAGTATCGATATCTGGTCTCGTGTGTTTACAGAGGGCGCAGCATATTGTGGGTTCTCAACGTCTCGATTTACAGATCACTCGTTTGAAAACGGTCAAGCTGTATCATCACTATTCAACTGTTACAGTTCACGTCACGGTCACATTCACGGTAACGGTTAACTAACTGTTTCTATTCACCAACGTGCTCGTGAGTGTTATGCGTTTGCATTCGTGCTTGCGTGGGTGGGTTAGTGTGCACTGGAAATTTGGCTTCCACTAGAATTTTGAGGTTGTTTCTAATCTGTGCTAGTTCTTCAAAAAGGAAAAAAGTTCGCATATTGTTTTTCTCCATCCCCCTCTCATTTCCATTTCCTTGTTTCTGATTTTACTAAAATGGGAAGACTTACGAATAATCCTTTTAATTTAGCAAATACCAATTATCTACTCAATTTAAGGTACATATCGTTGCATATGAACCAATCTACGTTAAAATGTTAAGCAAAAGCTTGAAAAGATAAAAAAGCAAAGCTGCATTTAGTTTACAATTAGTAAAAAGGATATGTGATTTCCTATACCATTTAAATTTTGGTTGGTATTCAATTTTCCATTGCGTTTTTATATAAAAATTCAATAAAAATACAAGCAAGCGTAAGAAATTCATAAAATTAATTAACAAACTACCCGAGAGACAAGCCCTCGTTAACTACTTGGTCTACATAACAAATAGCCGAGGTATCTCAATAAGGTATTTACTTTTCGGTTCCACCAGAAGTTTAGTTGGAGGCTGCGATGGCTATCGGGGTCGGCGATGGTGGGGACACCAACACGGCAGGTGGAGCCGTGTTGTTGAGTTCCACTTTTGCGGAGGAGGTATCCGCCACCGGTAGTCCGTTGGTGTTGGCGCCCAAGCTGTGTCGCGAGTTACGCTTGCGCTGTGGGCGCGAATGCGTTTTGTTGGGCGATGGCGTCTTGGTGGTCGAGTCAGGCACCGAGGACACGCTCTGGGATTTATCTCCCCCGGCTCCGAACTCTGTACTGGCGGATCGCGAACTGGCCGCTCCTCCGTTGCGAACCGACTGACCGGTGCTGCGGCGATTACGGCGCCGGTTGTTGTTTAACTTGACCACTGGCTTGATTGTGGTCTTGTTGGGATCGAAATAGCTGTCCAGGAGTTCGAGCAACTCGGCCTTGTCCTCGTTTTTCATAGTCCCGATCGACTGCAGGGCCATGTCCAGGCCCTCAGTGCGCTTGTCCGCCCAAATGGCACTTAAAGCATTCAAGTCGAATCCGTTCTCGGCTAGAACAATGCGGAACTTGACGGCACGCACGCGATGGTACAAAGTGGTCTTAAAGTAGTTAAGGAACACGGGACGGAACGAGTTCTGGCGTTCCAGGTTCTCGTTTTGTGTATCCAGCTCGCGGACATCAGATGCTACCGTTTTGGCGAACGGCTTCAGCGCTGTGAACATGTTGTCCAGCGCCTGCGACGATTCCGGCTCCGGTTTGCGGTCAGAGTTGCTCAGCTGGAGGGCCACGTTGAAGGCCAATTTGGCCCGAACACTGGCGTTGCCGTCGAACTGGTCCCGTCCATCTTGGATGCCATTCTTGGGCGATTGCTTATCAGCATTGCCCTCGAGCACGGTACTGTCGCTACCGGATGTCGATCCAGATGGCGAGCTCGATGTTGGAGCGGCACCGTCCTCCTTTTTGGAGAGGATCTTGGAGAGCTTACGCAGACTATAGTGCTTGATGTTGGTGTCGCCTATTGAGGCCTTGGCGAGATGAAGGCTATTGGCAAAGGACTTCACCGACTTGGTGAAGCGTTCCAGCAGGCCGTACTTCTTCAGCGACTCCAAGATCATGTAGGGAATAAACTTGCGCTCCTCGTGGTAGAGCAACACAATCCCGTCCGAACCAGATCCCGCCTTGGCCTTCAGCTGCTCAAGCCAGTTGAGGAAGTCCTTTAGGGCAGCGATCTCCGACTTGGACTTTATGATCTGAAAGAATTATTTTGTTTTTTGATAATATTATGTTAATACCAAGGCCAAAAGAAAAATGGATGAGTACTGCGATAGAATATTTGATGGAATAGCAATATTTAATGGACTTGCCTTGTAGGTCTGCATCGACTTCAGCATACGATAAAAACCAATCGAAATAACACGAACTTGATGGCGCTGTCGCGCAGCTGGATTTAGATTCATGTAGGGCATGATGTACTGCTCAAAGTGATCGGTGGGAGTGTAGGCGGCCAGCTGGACAATCTACGGACATATCGAAAGTAGGGTTAGGTCCGAACTAAAGTTATCTTAAAGAATGCCAGCTAACCTCATCAATAAGACGACGTCCAGTGGTGTCTATGTCCACGCCCACCAGGATATAATTGCCGGCTGGAAGTTCGTCCTTGGCAACCACAGACGAGGACTGATCGGCAGCGGCAATGGCCACTCCAGCATCGATATTTTCGGCAACCATTTTTAGTGATTTGAGCGAAGCAATCTAGAAATATTGTAGAAGTACAACAAAATATCAGCTCACTCCAATAACTTTTTTTTAAAGAAAAATTTTCGCTTCTCAAACGCGATCCGCTTGTTTTCGATTTTGTCCACGAAGTGACTGGCTTCAAGCATTGAATTAAGCTGATATTCCAGGAAACTAACGGATTCCTTCCAGGAACGCCATTTTCTTTTAGATCTTTTTCACCACACTTCACTTTCAGCACTTCCTTATTGCACTAACCTTTATTGAACTCCTTTTTCGTGTTAATTTCGATGGGCTCTTTCGCTTTTTACGAACTTTTTCCTTTGTTTTTCAAAAGGGTAAAGCGAGATTTGCTTCCGTTCGACGAGCTTTCACAAATAAGAAACAAATCGTACGACTAACTAAAACGAAATGAATTATTTGTTGATGCACCAGACGGGCTGAAAAATTCGAGAAATTTGTCAAAATGCACAGCCTGCTAAATGAGGATTTTTACTTAAGTACAATGGGCGAAGCGGGTGCAGTTGGGGTCATAATGGTATAATGCCCACCGTGCAGCTCTACAACAATTTTTTAATTAAAAAAATAATTTATATAATTTACAACTTTCTGGGTTTATTAATATATGTTAATAATTAACCGGCAAAACTTTTATGCCAACAAAAAAATTAAGCAAAAAGCGCAGAGGCAAATTGATAAGAGAAACAGTGTTGCCAAATTTAAAATGTTTAAGCCCGCACAGAGATGCCACCCATAGGCCAGGGCTGGCACACTATGGGAATTAAAGGCCAGCTGTTACTGCGCAGCCCTGGTCGTCACACAAACAAAAGTCAGCTGCCGCGTTTGGTTATTTCTATAATTTAAACAAAAACGAGAAAACGTAGATTAATAAAGTGTAGGTGAAGGAATTATGCTTTACTGATTAGCCTCGCACGAGCACAAACCACGGTAAAGATAAAATCAGCGAGATAACACCAACAAAGAAGGTGCCAAACATGCTGTCCTACATAAAACGCAAGCTCTCCGAATCGGACGGCGGCGTCAATTCTGGCGCAACAGTGACGTCGTCGTGCGGTGGAAACAGTGGGAGTGGGAGCGGTACGAGCGGCACCAGCGGTATCAGTAGTAGCGGTCGCAGCCAGAACGCCGACGAGTTAGTGCGCAAAACAAGCCAAATGTCGATGGATGATGAGGCGATCGCCTTCGGTGAGGACGCACTGCCCCACGAACTGGGCTATCGGAATGCCACGGATTTGCAGGAGACCATCTACGGTTTGTTACCACCACATAATACCTTGAATTGTAGCAATATTATGTAATGTTTCCCCGTTTTCCCAATCAGATCTGCTGCGCAGCATTCGTGATCCCGAGAAGCCCTGCACTTTGGAGGACCTGAACGTCGTCTACGAGGACGGGATTTTTGTGATGCCACCCACGCGCTCAAATGTCTCAGTCGTACGTTATTCTTTTTTGTTATAAAGTTCTAAACTTGATACTGCTCAAATTTTCTTTATGACTTATTTCATAATCTATGTTGTGTTTTTTTGACTAACTAATAAGCCCTAAAGTACTTAAAATATTAGCAGTAGGAAGAGTTTTATTTCACCACGGCTTATCTATCCCTTGAAAAAGAAGGGGAAGGTAAAGATATGCCCAAACATGTCGAGATTTTTTTAAAAGAAGTATAGTTTTTTCTACATAAGTGTTTCAGATGTTTTTTATTGATATATCAATCAATGAAATCCACTAATTCATGTATTTTTAATTATTTTAGGTACGTATTGAGTTCAACCCCACAGTACCTCATTGCTCACTGGCCACGCTTATTGGACTCTGTATACGAGTGAAAGTGGAACGTGGACTGCCCCACAATATTAAACTAGACATTTACATCAAAAAGGGAGCCCATCAAACGGAGGAGGAAAGTGAGTTTAACATTCTAGACACTTTTGGATTTATGATAATTTAAATTGGTTTTTTCCGCCAGTAAACAAGCAAATCAATGACAAGGAACGCATAGCTGCGGCCATGGAGAACCCCAATCTGAGGGAACTGGTTGAGAATTGCATTAAGGACGAGGAGTAGTTCTCTTTCCTCTGGATTTGTGTGTATATAGGGGATTTTGTAAAGAATGTCTAGGGTTAAATATACCATTAAGTTGCGTCATGGACTGTGTGCTTAGCATTAAAAGCCCTTTAAATCTGTTAATCGTTGGGTTGGGGCGGCGTGGTTCTACCTGAATATCGATTGCTTAACGTCCTATCTATTTTCCCCGGTTTGTTTACTGATAACGCTCGGGCTCAACAACGCTCATTGTTTACATTCTGCGGAAACGATATCACCGCTGGACACTCGACCGAAGAAAACCGTGTGCACAACGCTGTCATGGCGGGTGAATGAATTCAAACCGAAATCGAATCGGATCGGATCGGAGGCCGGCCATGTTGAACGAGCGTGACGTGAACGGATTTATCAGCTCGACGAGAACCCCAATGTTTGGGGCGGGGCAGGGCACTCACCTGTTAAGTTGAGTGCATGACACACATTCGACTCCGGCTAATTTCTTTGCAACTCTCCCGGTTTCAGTGAGCACTTTGTTGCCATGACTGCCGCTGTTTCTGCTCCAATTTGCATTTCCGGGGTTTTCCATTTGTTAAATTGCACTGCACTTCGACTCCAACCATCCAACATTCCGCTATAAATATTAAGCAATATCAATTAGTCGCTTGCCCTCGCGCTCAAATGCTCTAAACTAATTTTCAAAGACTAATGCAAAAAACATCCCGAGGAGCAATTAAAACCATCTGGCGCTGGAAACTTTTTGCCATGACACTCGGGCCAATATGCACGGGATGGCAACTGGGCAATCCCCTTCGTGGCCCCTTAGGCGTGGCGCTGTCTCAAAGAGCGAAGGGAAAATAATAAAAATGAATACGCAGACAAAAGCATATTGCGAATATTACGCTAATTGGTGACTGCAATCAAAGCGGACCACGGCCAGAACACGTCGGCCGGAGAAATAGGCGAGGCTCGGCGCGGCAAATGAGACTTTGAGCCTCCCAGAAGCCGTGACTTCGGGCTGACCATGACCAAGCTATCGGGGTACGCCCTTTCCTCTGCTCCATTGCGGTGATTTCAGACGATTCTGCGTCAGGAGAGCAGTAATTGGAAGCAAGCTGCTGACTACTTTTTAGCAACGATGAATAAGAAATTTGGTATAAGGGTGTTTTTAAAACAAAAAGTTGAAGAGTGCAAAATAAGAGATATATTGTCACCAGAAAATAACTAAATTAATTTTCTTTGTTAATGTTTTAATGATTCGCAACACCATAAAATTTTATAATTTTCAAACCTTTATTTAAAACTTAAAAGGCTTATAAATAGCCCGCTTTTTTCCCAGCTCCGAGCCTTTTGTGGTCAATCGATATCACCCTTTTCATCAACGAAGGTGAGTAAGATATTGAGACTCTGTACGTTGTCACCTGGACTGTTCATTAGTAACCAGTTAGCCAGGTAGCCGCGGTGACAGTTTAAAAACCACGTAGATGCAGACGAAGGGAGGCAGCAGAATTTTCAATCTTGGCTCTGCGTGGTGATGACTCAGTCGAGTCTCCAGGGAAATACTCCTGGGAAACCAGACTGCGGCAGAATTTTATGTGCGAAAAATACATAATTTATTTTGTTAATGCATATGCATTTAAGCCGGGCCAGCAACTGCAGCAATTCCCCAGGATTTGCTGACCGGCAATTGTCATTTGTGCAGCGGTCAAAGTGACCCATTTAACCGGTCTGCATTGCCCCGGTGGCACGCCCCTTGCCACCGGCCACCGCCCCTCCGGGTTGAGTACATAAGTAGGCAAATGCAATGAGTCTGGGTCCAAGTCACAGCCGCCCGAAGACGAGAGGCACAGATTGCGGCCACCGAGATTTCCTTCCGATATGCAATGCTGTTAAATTGTGTGCCATTATTATGATTGCCGTCGTGACGGCGGGGATCCGGAGTCCGGACGGAGTGCACAGGATGCAGGAGCCACGACGGGCCGTGGAGCTGCATTCACACATTGTTCGCCTGATCCGGGTCTCCGCATATGCCATGTATTTCATTATGAGACCCCACTTCCAACTGCCTCTAGGTTCTTGGCTTGTGAAAGTCAAAAGCGAGGGCATATTTGTTCTGTGCGGGTCTCATTAGTAGTCCTAAAATAGTTATATTTCGAGATCGGAGTAAGCAGATGTTTAAATAATTCAAAGCGGAGTCTGCAGATTATAAGTAATACATAAAAAAGAGTAATAAGTTAAAAAGGCTTAAGTAAAGGAAAGAAAGAAAGAACATGTTTTTGATCTTGTTTGTTTTTTAACATGTTTGAGAAATTTTAAATGATTTAAAACAAAAATTTAATGTTGACAATAATTCGTCTCCTTAAATCCCTAAGGATTATATTTTAATTCCGTAAAGTTCTGTGAGTAATCCCTGGTCGTTACCACGACTTCACAATCTCAGCTTATATTTTTTCAGGTGGCTGGCGGTTCGCGTTATTACAACCAATTGTTGTAATTGTGCTGGCCGCAGCAGTTGGAAGGCGGAGCTCCTTAAAACCGGAAGTAACACTCAACGGCGCAAAGCTGCCTACGGGCTTACCCGGCGTATGCGCATTATGCAAAGTCCCGGTCAGTGGTAAAAGCCATGCCGGAGCCAAAAGCAGCCGAATTCCCCGGATGGTGAGGTGACGAGGGAGGAGGTGGGATGAAATCAGGCTGACCGACAAGCGGACTTGGCCATTCAGCAACTGACAACTTACGCATCAGCGGAGACACAGATGAGGATGAGAAGTGGAGGATTCGGGGATCGGGGATCGGGGAGCCGGGAACACGAGGAGCCGGGAAACCGGAGACCGACTACGGGTCCAAAGTGCAGCGGACTGAGCTCTGTCTGAGCCGGAGAAAGAGTTGGGGGAAACAGGGCTTTTGTTGTTTGCACTACCATTAATTTCTGTTGCACTCGGCTCGCCATTTATTTTGTACGTAAAATGTGCCAACCTTATGAGTTGCCGGGAAACCCATTTTGTCTCTCTGCTGCCTCTTGGGAGCGGATTACTTAACCCTTTGATTTTCGGTTGTGCCTCTAGGCCACAAAACATAACCACATCGTTTAATTGATGTAATAAAAATTGCAGTTTCAAAGTGAACTTGAGTTTATAATGCTTATTTTTGCACGAAATTGATAATATTTTTTATAGGTTTGCAATTGTTCCACAATGTTTTTGGTTTTGACAGTTGTTGAATACTGTTAAAGAGTTTTGCCCGTAGCTTTTCACACGACACACAAAACAAAACATATGCATAAACAAGAAGCACCTTTTGTTAATTGAAATGGAAATGCATTTTTTGTTTTGACTTCCTTTTGAAAACCTCTTGCTTAATAAAAAGCCATTAATTTGTTAAACTATTTTTTTTATGTTAGTTTAAATACGAATTCTATGAAATGAATTTTAATAGCCCCTTCCTATTACGCATATAATAGGTTAAGGGGTCCAATCATCGCGGTTCGGGCATGAGTGGGTTAAAGGAGGAGCACCGGAATGGCTACCGAGGACGAAGCGCCTGCCAAGCGGAAGTGGTCGCGTGCGTGCATCCTGTCGGCAATTATGCCGCAGCAGCAGCAGCGGCAACAACAATTACAGTTACAGCTGTTACCGTTACCCCAAACCCCGCCCCCCGGCATCCGCCTCCATTCACGATTTACCCCTTGTTCGCTCGGTTGTAAGCCATTTTAATTGCTTGTCTCTTTTTAATTTTCAGCTCTTTTGTTATACTTCACCCTTTAGCCCCACGGCCCACCTGGCATACATATATATATATATATATCCCCATACTACGCTATAGCCTTTGTCTGATCCCTTTCTTCGCCTCAAGTTGACATTTTTGCTGGCTGTGCTGACTCCTGGCCAAGAGGTCGCCGCTCCTTGAGCCAGAGGGCTTTTTCCTGTTGACCATTTGCCGGAGCTAACGAACTAATGTTGAATGCACAGCAAGTGCCATTTGAGCTTCCGCCGGCTCATTGGCCCAAAGACGCCTGCGACGACAGCAATTAACAAAGGTGCAGGACCTCGTCCCTTCCCTTCCATTCCCTTTCTGGGCACCGCCCCTCCTTGCAACACACAATTGTCCTGGATCCGGAATCGGAATGGGAATGGTGTCCGATGGCAGCTAAAACGTGTGTAATCAGAGCATAATTGTCTAAAATAGCTCGCCACTTGCTGTCTGTCGTGAAATGAAAGCGTTTGTTTTCCTGCTCAAACACATCGAAAATCGATTTAATTCCCAGACGTAATGAAGCTCGAATCGTCTTCTAATAATACTTGAATGGATTTGTAAATTAGGAAAGTTACAGACAAATTAGAAGGTACACCTTAACATTCAACCATGTTATCAATATTAAGAACTGAAATTGCTGCTTTTAACATACCGTTTAATTTAGGCACTTGTGTAACTACTTATAATTAGGTAATTATATTTAATACATTAAATTAACACTGGCTGTATAACTGCATATATGTACATATATGTTCCGAACGAATAATTAAAATTTAACAAAGTTTTTAATAGGTTAAATTGGGTTGGCAGTATTGATTAAAAAGTTTTGTATGAAAAAGCGAAATTGAAAATTTAGCTTTCGCTAATTTTGGTTTTTGGTTCATAATTTCTTTCTTTATACGTATACTTTATAATTTAGATTTGTATTCAATTACCTCAGTATTAGAATCATTTTGCAAACAAATTAAATCATAAATCAGACAAATAAATCGACTGGATGCAATTATTCTCTCTTCAATTGCGTAATTAAAGCTTCTTTGGTGAACTCCAACAATGATGTGGTTTCGCTCTATGAGCCTTTTATCACACAATTACTAAATAGCAAATTAAATTTTATACGTGGAAGCTAGGCAATTCAAGCTTAGCTATTATTTTGCAATAAACACAAGGACTTAATCCCAATTTGTTGCATTGAATAGAGAAAACCCTTTTATGGTAAATATTTTGGAAAAACACTGTGGCTCTAAAAATGAAATGATCAGATACCCCAGTTATATATTTGAGAAAATAAACATTTTTCACTGTTTATTTTACAAACCGGAATAATATTCGACAATTCGCAATAAAACGTTGAGTGATTTGCATTTAATAACCTTTTGTTGATCGGAGCCGTG